AAGATGACAGAAATTAATAATTTAAAGAGGAAATTACAGATCAATATAATATAGTACAATTCGAAGTAACATATATAACCTGAAGATAAAATCGAGATTTCTCACTTCCTGCAGTTCTTGCCTGGTGTAAACTCTTCTCTTTTTTTTTTGTTTTTAAATAATATCGTAAATGATATTATCTAGTCTTTTTTTAAAGACAGCTAGGGATGACGCACAAGCTACATCGTTCGGTAATTTGTTCCAGTAGTTAATAGTACGAATAAAGAAGTCATGGGTCCTTAGTTTAGTTTTGCATATAGGTTTTAGTAATTTTAAGCCATTAGTTCTTGTTGGATTCAAATTTAGTCTAAAGTTATAATATTTCGAGCAATCTAGTTTAACATAACCATACAGAATCTTATATGTGTAAATTAAATCTTGTTTAATTCTACGAACTGAGAGAGAATCCATGTTATGTTGTAGAAGTGTTCTTTTATAATTAAAATTATAATTTTTATTAGGAGAGAGGCGTCTTAGAAAATATTTTTGGAGTCCTTTGATTATTTTACCTGTTTTGCGATGTCTAGGAGAGTAACATATAGTATTGTAGTCAAGAAGAGGCCGAACGAATGCTTTGTAATAATTTGATAAGAAAACTTTCAGTTTTGTTCTTAAACGAACGAAAAATTAAAATTTAGTATCTTTGAGGATTTCTTTACTATGGTTCTGCAGTGAAGATCGAAATCGAGATTTTCATCCATGATTATTCCAAGATCGGAGATGTGTGAGACTCTATTGATTAAATTACCATTTATAAAAAGGTTAGGAAGATCAAATCCTTTAGAGTTGATGTGAAGAACGCTACATTTTTGAAAGGAAAGAGATTTCTGCAGTGAAGATCGAAATCGAGATTTCGATCTTCACTGCAGAACCATTTTTGAAAGGAAATATTAGTGAAGCGAACTCGATTACCTTTCATGGCTGAAATCCTTCGATAATTTTATAGTTTTATAAGAATCAGCAGGTTCCGAGACACAGGTTTCAATAGCTAACTTGTTTTTATTTATAGACACCATGCCAGCCTCTTAAAATATGTCTATGAAATTCTTTGAATGTATTTTATGAAATTTCCGCATTTTGAGAAAAATTGTTCATTTTTTTTTCATTTCTTTTATTTCAGTATTTCTGCTTATCATAAAGTAATCATAAACATGATAGAATGAAATGAATCTTCTTTTTCCAGTTCACACCATTACTGGTTATTGGCTCCGCTGACCTCAAGGATAAAATGTTTCCAAGCTACGCAATCTGATGCCATCGATAGTAATATAATTTGATGATAGTGATAGAAGTCATTCCTTTTTCCGCCATCTAAGCCCATATATCGCTGATCCCTCTATATGCTTCAGAATCTTTCCTGATTGAATAAACCCAGCTCTTAATTGGCCTTCCTTGCTTTTGACGTCATCCATCACAAAGTTTATTAAGTAAAGCAATATATGTCAACTCCTGTGGTGGACGACTAAGAATGTGCCATAACCAGCGAAGGCGACGCTGATGATGTGTCTTAGACATGAATTAAACGTAATTTCTTAATATCACCAACTCTTCTGCCGTGTCTCACAGCAATATAGCAAAATGGAGCCAATGGTAGCTATACAGACATGGACTTTTGTTTTTATATTTATTTCGCGACGAGCCCATAAAGATTTCGAACCGGAAGAACGCAATCTTAGCTGTGGGGTCACAATCTCATCCTTTGCTTATCCACTTGGAATTAGACTGGATCCATGATACTTAAAGTCACTTTTTCAACCAGCAATGAGTTGATAAAAATAGATATTTTATAAGCGCATCTTGCATATAAGACAAAAACACTTTCGTTTTATTTAGTCCAATCCTCGCTGCAGCTGTTGTCATAATTTAAACATTATTTGCATCTCATTATACCTGTCAGCAAAAAGGACTACATCATCAGCCTATTCAAGATCTGTGCTGTTATCTCTGAATTGATTTGCACATTTGAGTGCCAACAAGTGATGCCCATTATCCGGCCTACCGTGCAGTTGAATATTGTAGGGGAAAGGACGCATCCTCGATGAACATTAATTCTCATTTCGAAAGAAGATCGATGTGATAAAATGCCTTTATGAGACGAATGATCTCTGGAACACCATCGCGTTTCATTATTCTATGAGTTGAATCGAAGGCAGTCGTAAATTCGATGAAACACGTGGGTTGAAGATATTTAAAGCGATGTTACAACATCTTCTCAACGTGAAGATCTGGACAGCACAATCATGTTCCGATTTGAAACCAGTTTATTTAGGACGCATCCTACTGTCTCGTAAGAGGCTGCCATAAGCCTCTTAGTAAGAAGGAAGCAAAAATTTTCCTGGAGATCTAGTAGGCTGATTCCTCGATAACTGCCAAAATTTCTGCCACCTTTCTTAAAACTGGGAGCAGAATTTCTTTACTCCAGTCATTTAGTTTTTTTTCATTCCAGATAGTATTTGTTGAAAGTTATGAAGAACAATGGACAAACATTTGAAAAATTTAGCTTGGGAAAGATCGAAGATCTTTTTTCCGAGTTTTATTGACTTGAAGCTTATGGATAACAAAGAATATTTCTTTTTTTTGTTGGTGATTCGCAAACGTTGGCTCGACGAGCGAATCCGGAATAACGGTTGGCATATAGGGGTTAAATTTGACCTCAAAAAATTCCTTCCATCTTATAATACTCTTAACATGCACAACCATCGCTATCCCGTACCATTTCACTGGTCGTTTCTCCAGTTATATTTGCTTTATGAAGAAGGCGGAATAGTTCCCTATTATCACCTAATCGAGTAGCCGTCTTCATTTCCAAAGCCACATCGTTCCAATAATGATTTCTATCCCCCGTCGTTGAATCTTTGAATCCGGTAATATGGATCTCTGACATTCTTGTCTTAGCACTTTTTTTGGGCAGTTGGACGGTTGCTTGCGTCACCCAACTAGCACATTCCTAGTGATGTTCTAGTGTGGAAATGACTTTCGGAGACATTCCTTTAGTTGGGACCACTATTCATTTGCCGTTCCAGAAAAGCCGTTGATATTTATATCATTGAAGTGCTTCAAGAATTCGATTTGAAATCCGCCCACTAACCTCGAATCTTTTAGTCTGAGATAATTGAAAGATCTTGAGGAACGCTATTTCTTGTCAGTTGATTTCTTGTCAGTGAGGATCTTCGCTCGAACCATAGCATGTCCAGATCCATGAAGATTGTCCGTTTCGGAGCCGCGTACAGAAAAATTGAAACGAGTACGGAACTCTTCCAACGGTGATTGACTAAAATATAATAAACATAGTTGAAATGTCGATTATCTGGGGAGTTTCGAGTGATTAAATATCTTCTTCCATGTCGGAAATATATATTAGTAAATCAGTAAGTAACAAAATGTTCACGTTGTTCGGCAAAAAGGTGTTCTCCACTGGCGCACCAATCTTCGATGCCAATTACCGAGTTTATATTGGTGACATCTAATCTCTCTCCACTGATTATTACCACATCACTTTTTGCTAGTGATGTTATCAGCAGATGAAGTTTCGTATAGAACTTTATCCTTGTCGTAGCCATCTGCACATAAAGTTGGAGTATATATATTGATAACAGAAATATTGCAGAACTTTTTCTTTCCTTTGAAGCACAGGCTAAACGGTCGTTTACCGTTGCTTCCACTCAATCAGAGAGAACCAAGCTTTTTTGGACATGACAATCGCTAGGCCATTTGGCCCCGAATTAACCAAAATATCACAATGATACAGCCAGTACTTCTATTCGGAGCCAGGTTTGGTAATTGCAAGAGACCTGAAGTGCAGAAGACGGATTTCCTACAAGCAACCGACATCCAAGCCATATTTAGAAAGAGTTGGACAATAAGCTTGGCTTGCAACGTCCAAAAGCATTCTAATGTTCCATGCTGCTACGTCTAACACTACATATTCATAGTGCCAACGGACAGTTTTTCGTTTTTCTTGACAGGTTTCGAGCAATTATTCTAGCTTGCAAGCATGTTATTCACAAGTCTCCGACCGTTTTACACTCGGATTGCATACCACTCGCCTGAGAGCATCGCACGCTCGAAGAACGCGTCAGAAGATCAGACCCTTTCACCATAGAGTCATTTTGGGATAGAATTGCAGAAGTCCTCAGCAACCAGATTTTTGATTAGATTGGTTTGTTCCTATCGAAGACAAGCATAAAGCAGAAAAAATTAAAAAAATAAAAAATTAAATTTAAGGAGAAAATAAACTTAAAAAAATAAACTTAAATAAACTTAACTTAAAAAAACATCATTCGAGGTATCCAAGCCAAAAATTCTAACAAATTCTAATCTTTATTAATTTTTTATATCTTAATAGAGCAGTTTGAAGACCCGGCTGCTCATAAAACGATAGATCAAAGATAAGAAATGTAAAAAAAAAAGAATTACCACTTCGTCGATGTACACTTTTTTGTCGCGAAAGCAAATGCAAAGCTGTTTTTGTAGGCAAATTAGAATTACAAAAAATTTCAGACTGGGTGGTAGTGTTTGATTTCCTGAAAAAAATAGGTCATTAAATCGGCACAATCACAGGAAATCATGGATCGGTAATCATGGATCGGTAAAATAAACTCGATTAACTTCCATGATTTAATGGAATAAAATAATGGAAAAACCTTTCTTGATGATAATGGAACAAGGCCCTGACATTCGATTCCACTCTGTTTGCAATTGAATTGATTGTACTAATGGGAGAAAACAATTCCTTAATTTCATCGCAGTTAATAAATATATATTTAAAATTGTAAATAAGGAAACTATAAATAAGACATGTGAATTTTATTCAAAAAAAAAATTGAATGAATGCACATCTAATTAACATGGATGTTAAAAAAAGTTTTTCAGAATTTCTTCACTCTTTTTTGAAACTTTTAATTATTATTTATGGCATCTATATTATATACTTAAACAATTAGGAAAGCTAAAAAATTAAATTAAAGATGAAGAACTGAAAAGTGTAAATAAGCAAAAATGAGAAAAATTTTAATTTGAACTATCGAAAAACCATTTTCAATTCAAAAACATTTTCATAAAACATATTTTGATATAAAAAAATTCTGATGCTATAAAATTTAAACAAAATTTGCAAAAATTTAGGCAATTTGAAATATAAAATAATACTGGCAAAACTGCAGAGGAACTATGAGAACGATTATGATAAGTTGAAATAAGCGCATCACAACTTGACACATTTTGTTTAATCTGAGGTATCGTAAAATCTCTTTTCACTCTTGCACTTAATAAGCAAATAATGATAGCTGCTGTCTGATAATCATTTATTCTTCCAAAATAATCCAATCTAAAAAATGAAAAATTCCAAGCAAATGAACAATTCACTTTTCTATAAGCGAAATCGAAAAATCAGTTATATTAAAATTGAAAATAAATACATCTTACAAATTATTTATGAGATATCTGCCAAAAGGATGCATGATCCATGGTCCATCCTCTTCGATGCTGTCTTCTTCCGAATCACTTGTTGAACTGCCTTCAGATTTTGAATCGATTTCATCCGAATCGTCCGTATTGCAATCATTCAACCACAAATAATTTTGCCATCTAAACTTGCAAATCATATCATCATAAAAAATAATAAAATGAAATTGTAATATACTACCAGATGCGAAAAAATTATGACCAATCTTCGTTGTATTTCTACTTCTAAATTAAAACAAATACTTCGCTGTTCCGAAACGCAAACACATTTCAATAACTTTCCAAACTCTTATTAAATGTTTTCGACCGCAGCTGTTCGCTGCTCTACGATTGTGTATACAAACTGAAAGAATATTGTTTCCAAATAATCTGAAAAATAACAGTTCATGAAGTTGAATACAGTTGACATTCTTTCTATTCATCGTTCTCCAAAATCAGTTTACAATATAAATATATATATTTTCAAAAACTTTGCAGCAATTAAATACTTACACATATTTGCGCGCTAATTCCTTGCTTACAGACATTAGAACAGACACATCATAGACCAAAATTATTGATGCTGGTGCACCAGCCAAATCATGGTGATCTTCAATAAAATTTAAAAAGTATTAAGAAAGAAGCTTAAATAAATACTTATTTTGAAAAAAACAAAAAAAATTTAATAGAAAAAATTATGAAGAACATACGGTCAGCTAAAATTCCGGTAACTGAGCTTCCTCTAGTTCGATTCGATCCAATAAATGATAATGAAATATTCTGATTACTATCAGCTTCAAAACTAAATGTATTCTGCAAAATAAAATGATAAGGTCTGAAAGTTATAATAACTATTTTAAAAAATTTAAAGAACCGATAAAAGATAAAAAATAATTTTATCACTTCTTCTTCTACATCAATTTGAAAAAAATTGATTCTTAGGTAATTCAAACCAATTACTATGAAGAATCCAAATTATCAGAAAATATATGGAAAAGAAAAGAAAAAAATACAATAGAGGCAAAATTTATAAAAATTAAAGTAATTATAAAAATGATGCTAATTAAAATAAACATACCTCATCATCCGCTAGTTGCAGTTGCGCGTTCCTTTTCGCACTGGAGGATAGCTGCGTGGTACTTTGCTTGCTTCGAGCTAGAACATATAAATCTACAGAAAAAAATAATTTAATAAAAATGAAGTTAAAAATTTATTACTTCAAACTTTAAATTTTTTTAAATTTTTATTTTTTCTAAAAATTTTAAAGCAGAAAGTTAAAATAAAGCTGAAATTTTGAAATTAAATCAATTGAATTTTATTAATTATCTGACTTTTGCATTAAATTATAGAAATTGTACATATATAAATAATTTTTTCTTTATAATTTTCTAATTTATTTTTTTCATCCTTCCTTAATTGCTTTTTTTCTTTTTTTTTTGTCTTTGTCTTTGACAAGAGTAAACTTATAATGATACCAAAAAGCCGAATAGTTGCTGGGGACACACCTGTATCTCTGTTCCCAAGTGATTCTATGGTGAAAGAATCAGGTCTCTTTGATGCGACATACGCGTCTTCCAACATGCACTTCAGGCCCAGTGGTACATGGCATATTTATACGATCTGGGCCTAACGATAATAATAAGGTAATTCCAAGGCTTCGGCATAGGATATGGGATGTGAGATTACTCAGAACCCCCCAAGAGAGACGAGAACCTATCCGTTACCACTTTCTAACCGTGGCGAGAGACCGGCTTGGAACGTCAGAATGCTTATGGATATTGCAAGCCAAGCGAACGCTATCCACATCTTTCTAAATACCATGTAGAGGTAGTTTGTTTGTCGGAAATCCGTCTTCCTCTTGAATAATTATTAAACTTGGTTCCAAGCAAAAATATTGGCTATATCACTGAGGTTTCTCGGATAACTCGGGGAGAAATGGTGTGAAGTCTGTCATATCTGAAAAGGCTCGATCCACTCTGATTGAATGAAAACCGTATGGTCTACACGCGTTTCAAAGGAAAATTCTGCAATATTTCGGTGATCAGTCTATATGCTCCAACTTTATGCGCAGATGACCAGGACAAAGATAAGTTCTACGCGGAACTTCAACTATTAACAATATTTCTACTGAGAAGTGACATAATCATAATCAGAGGAGAATGGAATGCACGCACGCATGTATGCACGCTTAGATCATAATGCCGCCACGATAAACTCGACAATTGGCAAATATGGCATCGGAGTCTAATGCGCCAATGGAAAACGCTTTTGTTCGTTTTGCCGAACAGTATGAATAGTTTGTTACTAATACGCATCGAAAAAGACATTTAGCCAAGTGGAACTCTGCGGATAATCAATATTCCAATCAGGTTGACTATATATTGTTCAGTCGTCACTAAAAGAGTTCTTATCGAGGCGCTGAATCTGGTAACCACCATAGATCAGACCATGTTATAGATGTTATATGTTCGAGCCAAAATTCACATAAAACTGACAAGTAAGAAACAATATCCCAAGATATTTATCAAGATATTATCTTTATCAAGATATCAAGACATTTATCAAGATATTATATTATTTATATCTTTATATTTATATTTTATATTTTATTTGTATCCCAAGATCTTTCAATTAGTTTAAATTAAAAGATCCAGGAATAATGAGGGCATTTCAAACCGTTTTTTTAAACACTTCAGTGAAATGAATATCATTCTGTAGAACGGCGAATAACACTGGTCCAAACTAAAGATATGCTGCAAAAGTCAGCCACAGCCACTAGTGTACACTAGTAGGAAGTGTGCTAGTTAGGTATTGGAAACAATTATCCAATTGTCTGAAAAAGAAAGCTGTCGAAGTCAGAATGGTAGAAGATTCTGACTATTAGGTGCTTCGAAGAATAACGATAGCAGCACGGCGAGACAGAAATAGCTATTGGAGCGATATGATCTTAAGAATGGAAACGACGACTCGGTTAGGTGATAATAGAAAACCATTTTGCAAAGGAACTTGAGAAGGGATCAGTGAAATGATATAACAACGATAGCAGGAATAAGGGATATCAATGGGGTACCTATTAAAACTAAAGAATCGCCTCATAAGATGAAAAGAATTTTTTAAGGCCAAAGTTAATAACGATGCGCCATCTGTTGTCCCGAATATAGCTGATTCGCTCGTTCAGCTGTACGTTTGCAACCGAACTGTCAACAAAAGAGGAATCAATAAGCTTAAGGCCAATAAAACTCTAGAAAAAATTGGTCCCAAATGTACTCGCTATGCATTGTATGGTAGTTCATCGGAAAAAATAGTCTTTGGAACGAATAGTTGTCTATCATCGTTCATAACTCACTTTCAACAAATGTACTCTCTGATATGGCAAAAGGAAATGATACCAGAAGACTGGAACAAAACTATTCTTCTTACAATTCTTAAGAAATGTGACAGGATGTGCTGCAAACAATTATCGAAGAATCAGCTTATTAGACCTTTCAGCAGAAATTTTTTACTTCACTTTTACTCAGTAGACTTATGGCAGTACGGGACAACAGGATATGCTCTAACCAAGCTGGATTCAGATCGGCGTGCGATTATGCTGACCACATATTACGCTAAGAATGGTGCTGGAATATCACTTCAAATACCAGTAACCCATCGTCACTTGCTTTATTACCTTGATTTTACAGCTACTTTCGACTCGATTGATAGAGCAGCGCTATAGAAAGTAATGGAATGTAACGGTATTCCAGTGAAAATCATTCGGCTAAGGATATATCATTTTATCAGCATACCTTGGCACACAAATATATGTTGACAGACTTCTTCGAAATAAGAACTGGTGTCCGTCAAGGATATATCCTTTCCTCTAAAAATATTCAACTATGCGATAGACTGGATTATACTTGTCCGCACTCATTTATGCAAATCAGTTCAGAGATAGTAGCACAGATCTTGAATACGTTGATGATGTAGTCCTTTTTGCTGACAGGTATAATGAAATACAAATAATGTCAACAACTGCAACGAGGATTGGACTAAATAAAACGAAAGTGTTTTCGTCTTATAGATTAACATTCGTCTTATAGATTAATTAACAATAATATAGATTATAGATTAACTGATAAAATACTTATTTTTATCAATTCATTGCCCGTTGAAGAAGTGGCTTTAGATATCTTGGATCCACTCTAATCCCAAATGGCCAGGCAAAGGCTAAAATTGTAACCTGGATAATGACACCTAGAATATGTTTCCCGGTTGACGAAATTTCATGGAATTGTCGCGAAATCGCCATAAAAAAGAAAATCCGAGTCCATACAGCTGAATTCGCGAGATCTTGTTATATTACTGCGAGACATGAGTGGATGATATTAAGAAGTTACCTATATTTAAGACACATTTTACGGGTCCATCGAGCTGATAAAATCTCACATGACTGCATCCACTTTCGCTCAAATACCACTTGCATTACTAACACATGGCGTCGCTTTCGCTAGTTAGGGCACATTCTTAGTCGCCAACCACAGGAATTGATTGCGTTACTTAATAACTTAATAACTCCTTGTGATGGAAAGCATCGAAAACGAGGAGAGCCAAGCAAGACCTGAACTAATACAGTCAGAAAAGATTTTGAAAGTGTGGGGGAACCAGCGATATATGAATTTTGACAATGGAACGGCTTCTATTATAATAGCGGTGACCGAGATTGGACCGAACAGCTTGGAGATGTCTTACTCTTGTAGCCAGCGAAGCCAGCCTAACCAGTAGCGGTGAGAACTGTTAGAAGAAGAAGAAGAAACCTATAATAAATTCTTGGCGATATTCATCGAAAGATCTGGGCACATTTTTAACAGTTTGAATTTGTTCATTACCATCAGCTGTCGAAATATTTTCAATTTGATAAGTAAATATGTCTGCATCATTTCTGCTCGATCTCTTTAAATTTCGAAATAACAAAAGGGATAAACAAAAAATTGTTAAGGGATAAATTGTTTAAAGTTCATTAAAACTGATTCTAAGAATAAATTAAAGAGAAAACAAAATTTAAGATATAGAGCGGTTAAAATGGATAGAATAATTTGGTTTTTTTAATTCCTAAAGGAATTACTTCCGTCATCTTCACAAAATCCTCGCAAGAAAATTTTAAGTAACAAAAGAAAAAATTAATATGGATCAAAAAAGCCATTTATATGAAAATTCACCTTATCTGATGTAATTTTCCCATCTTTAAGACCAGTCCTACCAAAAACCACAAGAAATCCTCAAAAAAAGAAATCAAATGGCGTCGAAAAAAATTACTTAAAAATTCTTATTAGCAATATAATCAAAAAGATGCTATTTATTATAAATGATTATGAAAATAAAATAAATTTAAAAGCAATTAATACCTGAACCATTGAACCTGGCACCGCAAGCTCCAGGAGAAGGAACCCATTTGTCAAAGTCTGAATGAAAAGATGGAGGAGATAATCGATTTCTAAAATTTTGTTAGATAATGAAATAAATAAATTTTTACCTTGCAGTAAAATCAAATATTTATTCATAATTAAAGCTTCTATCGACTTTGTAAAATGTCTTAATATCTTAACATGTTTAGTGTCAAAGGTGTCATGTCTTCGATTTCAACATTTTTCACTTCATTTCCGAATGAACCACCACTACTGAATTCAGTTCGATCAATAACAGATGGAATATCTATTGTTGGTGCACGAAAAATCTGAATAAAATGAAATGTAACAATGAATGAAATGAATGAATGCATACATAAAAAAAACAAAAATTACTATGCAATCAATAAATTGGATTTAAAAAAATTAAGCAGAAAAATCTTGATAGAATATAGATGAATATGAATATGAATACTTTCAAAACCCTGATTATGTCAGGAAGTTTATGAAGAACCCTTGACAAAATCGATTCTGGAGGAGAATCAAAATAAACTGGGGCAGCTTCGTTACTCAAAGCCTGAAAATAGAATGACTCGAAAATTTGAAAAAAACAAAATTAAAAAAATTACTGAATTAAAAAATTATGTGAGATGAAAAAACTACTAGTAATAATTGCTTGGCTTGCTCCTTTGTTAATGACGAATCATTTTCGATTATTTCAAGACAAACACGATGGTTTCTCATGAAAGCACTGTGAAATCGGAGATGAAATTTAATTTTGCGTTGCGAGGAGTCAAGAAAATATGTCAAAGTAGCTGTAGTACGATTACAATTTATCTATAAAAAAACCGAAAAATCTTTACAACAATTTGTTCATATTGATTCAAAAATTAAAATTAAAATAAAATATAATAATAAATATCAAAAAATTAATATCAATTTAAATAAGAGAACAAGCAAAAAATTTAAGTGGAAATTTTAATATATATGCAGATCTAAGCAAACCTCATCAATATTTAAGCCTTGAACAGATAAATTTCTTAGTGATTCCAATTCATCACTTATTCCACCTCGCAAATTAGGAGCTTTGATCCAAATCTTCCAATCATCTCTTGATAATGAATAGGAATATAAATTATCAGAAGAAGAATGGCCTTTGTTAGAGGCAAAAGTTTCCCGTTCCGAATTATGATGAGGCAAAAAAACCTTTCTAACCATATTTTGTTTTGTCTCGACAATTGATAGTGATTCTATAGATTTCGAAATATTTATTTATAAAAACAATCACAAATATCAATTTTTTGAACCAGTATAAACCAGATGTAAATATCTAATTTACTAAAGTAAAAAATAATTTGAGAAAACTTAAAAAATTTTGGAAATTCAATAAAAAGATCATATGAAGATTTGTTATAGAAAACTCTGATATCACCTTCTTTGGCTATGATCGAACTATAAGAGATGGAACAATCATAAATATTGGATAACACATCATCAGTAATTTCATCGACTATTTCATCAATTAAATCATTAGCAGAATATTCGATAAAATAAGTTGCAGTTTCTTGAAACTTTGAGGAAGGCGACTGCAATTAAAGCAGAAACAGAATAAACTCTGATAATTTTACTTATGAAATAACGATTTTGATTCAAAAATAAAATCAAGAATACTTTGACTGAGAAAGAGATTTGTTGCATGCTTCACAAAAGAACGACTAAAAATCTGGAAAAAAAAATGAAAATGCCAAAAAATTGAAAAAATGTAGACCGTGCTCTCATAAGGTGATAATGGATAACGTCGAACCTTCCCCGACTTTGAAACAGCATACAGACATTTGATCGACCGCATAGAAGACTGATACCGTTGCCAACAAATATCAAGTATAACGTCGTCTTCACACTTAAAAAATCATAAAAAAAATAAAGATATAAGTAATTTTAAAAAATGGCACAAAAATCAATAAGCAAAGAAAAAATTAGGAGAAAATATTGTCCATTATAATTTTAAAATAATATTGCTTTTTCACTGTCGTAAAAAAATTTAACTAATACAAATTTAACTAATCCTTATTTTTTCTAAAAAAATTGAATCTTTTAAATTAACACCATTTATTAACTAACTGCTATGCTACCAACACTCGTCATTTTTGATTAGATTCAAAACGATGTGACTGTTGGTACGATGCGAAATTTTTACCAACTTTGGGAGCAATTTTGATATAGAAATATAAGTAGAAATATTCCTAGCATCAGCATTATTTTTTTAATGACAAGTTTATTAGGAGTATTTTGACAATACAAACGTGTACTCTAAAAACGATAAGATCAAATCAGTTATGCCGACAATCCTTTGAGTTAATTTTTATAATTTTCATTCATACCTTAACAGATTGCGAGTTGTCCAGCTCATTGGATTTCCAAATATTTAATGCTGTCTTCGATAACGATTGTCCGTAATTAGGATATGGAACAGAAGCGAATTCTTCAGCGTCAAACTAAAAATATGACGATGAAAAAAATAGAATATTAAAAAAAGGAATAAATACAAATATAAAATAAGGATACAGAAATAAAAAAAATTATTGATAAATTTTGAAAAGAGATCGAAATCGTCAAATAATTTGCCATATTTTCAATATTTAATTTGGCATAAACCCATCTGTTTACATAATTTCTAAGATCAAAGATAATTTCTTCCATCCAAGAATTTAAACATTTCTACATACCGAAAATTTCAATTTCCACACGGGAGCACTCAGCACACCAATTGAACGACGAGGTTTTTTGAGATCAGCGAAGTTCCACACCTATAAAAATTTGCTATAAAAGCAAATTATAGATGATAAAGGAAATTAATAAAAAACAAGTTGAACTACTTTTATAATGAGACAAAATAATTACATTTTAGCACTTTACTTATGTTAAAAAAAATTTACCCGATAAAATAAATGGAAAACCACCTTAATATAGCCATCCATACCCGCAGTGACGAAACATACAGGATCAGTGGGATGCCAAGTCACACAACTTACTTTCTGCAGATGCGCGAAAACTGATTGAAAAGGCGAAGATAAATCCTTAAATATTTGGTAATTAATAATAAGGAATTAAAAAATTAAGTATAATTTTCAGTTCTCATCTTTTTAAACAAACATACTAGAATATTGTAAAAATAATTTTTTCTCAATAAAATCCGATTATATAAAAATATTTACTCGAATATCCCACATGCGAATGTCAGTTCCATGAGAAGTAGAAAGAAAATATTGAGAAAGCGGAGCCCATTTAGCTTGTTCTGCCCCCGCGATAGTATTAATTCGCATTACAGCACTTTGCAAATTACGCATATCCCATATGTTAACCACATCATTGAATGAACATGTTATCTTAACGCAATAATTTACAGCATTTCGACATTTATAGAGAAATTCAAAAGATCAATAATAATTTATTTAAAGATTTATAAGTTCGATATGATTATCATGAAAAGTTCAAAAATCTGCCATAAACTAATACATGTTCAAAAATTCGCCTCATCAATTACCATTTATCAAAAGTAGATAAATGAGAAAATAAAACAATTTGCAAAAACAAAACAATTATATTGAAAAAAATAAAAATAAAAATAGATTCATTCAACAGAAAGTATAAAAAATTTTCAAAGCAAGAAAAGTATAAAAAAGATTTTAAATTTTCTCAGGCAAGTTAGAAATTATGCTTTAAAGAAATAAAAATTAAAAATTACGTAAAAAATATAAAATTATAAAAACCTCACAAATAAATTGTATTCATAAGCTGACCAATCTAAATCCATAACATTCAATGGATGTGCTCGAAATGCCGATAAAAAATTTAACCCAGTGTTGTTAACTGAATATATATCAATGAACTGGCCACTCTAAAACATTCATATAATTTAAATTTGGTGAAAGCTACAATAAAAATAAAATAACGTAATAATTTACTTGAAATGAAAAAAATAATTTATTTGAATTGGAAAAAATCATTAATAACTGCAAAGAGTTAGGTACGAATTGTTTTAAAACGAAACTTGAATTATAATCAAAATTATATTCACTATTAAATCTTAGAAAATTTTGAGAAATCTTTGAAATATTTTAATATATTTTAATATATTAAAATTTTAATATTTAAGATGAAATTAAATTTAGTTCATACGATTGATGCAATGTGATCACTAAAACACGAATTCAAACGCTGCCATTTTACTGATGTTACTTTTTGCCTGCATGTTCGTATACTTTGCAGATTCACAACATTTTGATCGCTTTCTATTAATGTTAAAGTTTTCGCGCTAAAAATAATCGTTTTAAAAAATTTCAAAAAACAAAGATAAACAGAAACACAATTAGATAAAATTATAAGGAAAGCGGAATGAAAAAAAGAAAAAAAATAACCCTCCAAGACAAATGAACCTTCCATTCGCATCACTTTCAATTGAAGTCGCCTGAAATATTACAAAATATAAGTCAAAAGTGATAATAATCTTCTCGCTCCAATATCAAAATTCAGCAGTATCACCACTGATCAGGACAAATAAATTAAACAAAATTTTTTAAAATTAAAGTTGAATTTTAAATAAGGTTTTAAATTTTATAATTTGTAACTTACAAATCATAGATAACAAATAATAAATAATAAAATAGTAATATAAATAATAAAATGAAACAAATAACATGAATAAAATAAAACCAACATTTGTTCCTCGAAAAGGACTATCATCCAAACCATGTACGACCACCATCCTTAATGGAACCAAGACTTTTATGCCAAATATCAAATATCTATCAAAATATAAATTTTAATCACCCAACTTTTAATTAAAAAATCATATTTAAATTCTATAACATTCACTACATTAAATACAAAAAATTTTTGCAATAATAAAATGAATAATAAATAGAAATGCATCATTTTAAAAAAAATATAAAATATGAGGAAAAGTAAAAATAAAAGAAAATTTTAACTATGAAAAATAAAGAACCAAGCGTACAAAAAAAGTTTACTGTAACACACCACATTTATTGTAACACATCATTTATAAAAACGAAGAGAAAAGTCCAGTTTGTCTGCGTTATATATATTTAAATCGTAACATAACTAAAAAAATTTCTTTTTCCAAGCCTTCTTACTTCTAATTTCCATTTTAGTAGGAAAATTTTTTATATGATACCAGTATAACTTGCACAATACCGTTATGCTACTCTTCTAGCAATCTGAAGAAGCCTAGGGGCCTCTTCTCAGAATCTTTTAAAATGCATGAAAATTATAGCTAAAAGTATAATTCCTAAGGATGACAAAGATGATGCTATTGATATTAAGACTATTATCTATATCGATTACTGAAGGAAATAAAAGAAAAAAAAACAGAGAAAATAAATGGTGAAAATAAAACAAGGATTTTTTCCCATTAAATTCATCGACTCCTGATTGAAAATTCAGAGCTAAATAAAACAAATTTTATGCCAAATATACCAAACATCTATAATTTCGTACACTGAAAGTATGCGCAATCATAAGATTGTCTAAGCATGGATAAATCATTTATAACATAACTGCTTCTCAAACCTTCTCGAATATCTTGATCAATTCTGCAAAATAACGAAAATATAAAAAAGTCCGCAAAATTATGATTTTAAAAAAAAATGACATGAAATTATCTAAATAATTGAAATTTATCACAACAAAGGGAAATTTGAAAAAACCTATTTTCACTTAGATTAATGAATTAGTGAGACGAAAGAAAGCAAAATCTTGAAAATTTTTTTCCCATTCTAGCTCAAAGATTTTCTAGCTATTCTGATGCATCTCAAACAATAATCTCAATTATAATCTTATCCTGGTCTCAATTTATGTATATGTAACGGTGAAATAATGTTCTGACATTACAATTTCTATTTTTTGAGATCATCCAACCATCCTAAATATTCTCACAATTCACATTTTGATCACAAAATGGTTATAATTTAAAACAAACCTAAAGCCTTTGCTTACAATGTATTTCATTAACATCCCATAAGGCACTTCAGCAGCATCCAAACAAGTTGATGAAGCAAAATGATAGGTCAGAGGACCATAGTTCATCCAAATTCCACCTGATTGCAATATTCTGAATTTTTCCTACATTATCCCAGCAGCACCTATTATTTTCAACTGGGAAAAGATTATGAAAAATCAAAATGCAATACAGACCTGTAAATTACATCCACATATTCAAATACATTTTTAGATGTGTCAAGAAAAAAAATTGTTATAACTACGGGAAAGACATCATTATTTGACTGAGTCGTTTCCACAAATTCACCGGCGTTCATTTCAAAAGTATTTAATTCCTGAAATATTCAAGAAAATGAAAAAATCATGGCACTAAATATTTAAAGATCCATGATATGATTATTTCTTTATTTTAAAATTCTTTCAATTAAAAATTAAAAAGATAAATTTTACCAAAAATTAATTCATAAATAATAAATTTGTACAGAAAAACGCTTATGTATAACCGGTACAAAAAGATTAAGGAAACTTTATTTAAAGATCCTGGATGAACATCAGGGAATTCAATTGCACGAGTTCGATCATCATAATCCCACGTATTTGAAGTATCGAACAAATATGGGTATACTTTCAATTTTTGCTATAAAATATTTGAATATTTGCGAAAGAAGGAAATATGAAAATAAAAAATCAAAATCTATTGGTTTAAATTTTTAAATTAAATTTTATTTAATTTTTATTTAATTAAATTAAATTTTTAAATTAAATTAAAATTTTCTACATCTGACAAAACCTTGAAATTAAAAATATGAATTTTATATCCAAGAATATATTTTTACAAATGATAAATTTAAAATTAATTTAAAATCCAGAAAAAAATAAAACCTGAAATGTATGATTCAACATGAAATTAGAAACTAGAAGCATCTGATAAGAAAATTCATAGCAAACAACTGAAAATCCTTCATGAACTAGATCCCATCCTAATCGAGCTAAACCAGCACCAGGTATCAATATCCTTACAGAAGCTCTTTTACTCACATCGCTAAATTTTGTTCGTAATGCAGATTTAACCAAATCAAATGAAATATTTCGTTCTTTTGCACCTGAAATGACCGTTCCGAAAAAAATAATCATTAAATAAAATCCATCTTATTAACAATACATTACAAATTAGCAATATTAATATGTAGGATGTATAAAAAAGATAATCAGACAATCCAAAAATCGTAAACTAGTGGCAAACTGCAAATGTGTCTGTGCCTGAAAATTCATCACACCATATTTCTGAACATTTCTAAACGCTTATTTTCCTTCATTACTTGCTTAGGAGATCTCTTGTGTAAAGAAAGGTATAATGTCTTCTGAAATCCTTTTGGTTCTACTTTTTCTTAGATTGAGTTTTAAGCTGCTAATGCCGAGTGCCACTGGTCCTTCAAACCCCATTAATTCGTTTTAAGATCCTCGAAACCCGCAACTCCTCTAGACGAAGCCAAACCTCTGCACTTCTCCGCTGTAGCGTTATAACGCTTCAGACTTTTCCTCCTTCAGACTTCACAGCACTTTTTTAACACTACTTACTCAACTGAAACCTGTTAAAACATTTTTCTTCATTCTTTTTTTACGGCTTATTTATTCTTTCCATGAAAAAAAATATTTCTTTTTTTCAACTTTTCAGTAAGTTGTTACGACGAATTTTAATGAGCTCAGCTGAAATTTATTACCAATAATAATATATTTAGATTCTCATAACTTCTATTTAAGATAAGGGGTGATGAAGGCACAAAAGAAGCTAAAACGTGTTAAGGGACTACAGTGAATGCGCGAAAACAATAAATAAGAAAAAAAGGTGCATATTTATCGATTCTAGCAACCTAATCATATCATCTTATATCATCATTATCTCGAAAAGTTTATGGCATAATTAAGTAATATTAACCTTGTTGACTCCATTCTCGAACAATCTGATGCAAAATGGCTTTGACCTTAGTCATTAAGAATTCAGACACAATATCTTTTCTTCTACAAATTTTTCTCGATTCTTCAGCAATTTCTGCGCATCTCATAGTGTCTTGATCGAACATTGAAAAGCCTGCCGTTGCTATCATAGACAGAACTCTATATTAAAAATAATTCATAGACAAGAAAATTTTACTGAAAAATTTTTAAAAATTCGACATTTATTCTATTTCTATTCCTTTAGAAACAAATTTATTAAATAATATTCATCATTAATGCAAACATTTATAAACGGTAAAATCACCGAGATATACCAAGCTCAAAAATTTAAGGGTTGAAAAATGTTTGCATAACAATTGCATAATAACATGCATAATAACACACTTTCCAGTTTCTTCCACTGCTTTCTTGAATTTTTTTAAATGATCATGAAAGAACGGTTCAAGAAATTTTCGATGATGCTCGGGAAGACGCCTGAAATCAGAGAGAATTTGTTATTAAAGAAAGAATGCTTAAAATAATCAACTAGGAAAAAGGTCTTGAAAACAATTTTATAATGATTGTTAAAAATTAGCAAAATTAAATATTTTTATTATGCAATTCTTCAAATGATTTTCACATAATAAATGATTGAAATATTTATTTTCTAAACAAATTTATCACAATAAAAAAAATGACTTACGAATAATAGTTGAACATTATGTAGATATATGTGGAATTTCTTTAAAATAAAGAAACAACAACTTACTTAAAACTGTTAATAGATTCAGCGATATGACGTTTTCCATAACGTTGAAAATACAGAAAAGAATAAATGACGCCAGCCAAACTGCTATTCTCTTCATCATTTTCACCATTTGAAGCACAATCACAGATAGCAGGCTATAAAAATAAAACTAATTTTATAATGGACAAAAAATAAAATATTTGTATTATAAATTTATAAGATAAAATATATTTATAAATATAAAATATTAAATATAAATATATTTATAAATATAAAATATATTTATAAAATATATAAATACTTATATATTTTTAGAATTATCTAACTATTAATGAAATAAAATTAACAAAAACTGAACAAATTTTTTATCCACCTATCATTTCAGCACATTTTTTCAGAAATAAATAAACTGAATAAATAAAGAATAAAAACCTGTCCAAGAGGTCCACCAAACGAATCCGACGTACTTTCTCCATCAACGCTCAGTTGTTCCATTGATTGAATATATGAATATATTGTTTTTTTTATGGCCACAATTTCTCCCAAAATTCTTTCGACAAATAATTAAACTGAAACAAATGAAAAATTTTCTTAAATAATTATTAGTTTTCCTATGGATTGATACAATCAGATATTCAATCAGGCACAATCGCCCAAGATTTTAAAACAACAGTAAAAATTAAAAATTAAAATGAAAAATGAAGATTTTATCTCGAAAATCAGCATTTAAATAATGTTTAAGTCATACCGATGCAACATTTATTTCAGCAGAAAAAATTCATAAATAAAAAGTTACAAAAACAAATAACACATATAATAAGAAAACAAATTAAATGGAGAAAGAGACCATTAAAAAGAAAAAAAGCTTTATAAATCAGCTTTTTTTTCAAAAACCATGATTTCTAGAATTATAAATAAGATACGAAATCTAAATATCAAGAAAAAAAGAAAGTATACTATAGGAGTAAAAGAGTATTACATGAATGATACCCCATATTAATTATTTAATTATTTACAGTTATGAATTGACCGATGTATGTAAGCAAAATGGTCGGTGACATTAACAATTTCTTTCGCTTCTGCTGGATCATCTTTCCATTTGCTATAAACTTTATAGATATCATGACCCATTGTCTCTGTATCCCAAATCTGAAGGCCACGAGGTATTGCTGTGGATACACCACGTTTTCTACCTAAAAATTATTTCCGCTAAAATTCACCAAAAAAATCTAAATAAAATACTCTTTTATCGATTTACTACGAAAAGAGTAGTTAAAAAGCAATGGAAGAACTTAAGAACTTTATTAATCGAAAAAAGAATATTAAATACCCTATAGGATATTTTTTTTAAAAAATTAGAATCCCTAAAAAACTGGAACAATATAGTGACAAAATTATATTAAATTTAAAAGTAAAAAAAAAAAAAATAAGAAAAAAGAATTGATAAAATCACAGATTGGTCTCGATTTACCTGGTCTAAAATCGCCACCAACAGACATCTCTTCTACCATAGCTAAAACCTGATGAGATGTTTTAAATGAACAACGCCTGATGCGAAACCGAAGCCACCTATATCTACAATTTGAAAGAAAAAAATCTAAAAATTATTAAAAAATTCAATTTTTCGCTATTTCAAAGTCTAAAACAAATCGCAAGTTCCCGCTTTGACCATGTTCGAAAAAATTTGAGAATGGAAATATAAAGAATATTTAAAGAATAAGAATATCTAACTCTCCAACAACGAAAGGATCACAGTTTGTATGAGATCGTTGAAACATATAATCCACTTCAGGATTGTTTTTACTGAAAAATATTTCTTTATTCATCAAACGCAAGAATCGCATTTTCCCCACAAATCTATGAATGCCTTCAATTTTTTCATTTCTTTTTCCAAAAAGTTTTTTTAATTACTAAGAAATAATTGATATTTAAAACACACTTAACACTTTAAAAAAAAACAAAAAGATCAACCGGATAATAGGCAAAAATTCATGCACAAATGTCTCGACACCTTCACTTTTTAAACGATTATGACCCCACACAATGCGAAGACGGAGCAAATGCGGCACAAAGCGTATCAACTCAGCGGATTTTGCATTCTGTGGCTGCATTCCACGAAGTAAAACCGACATTACGTCTGTCCCACCTAAACTTACCATACTTTTAAAACTATGCCAAAATGATACGCCATTTCGCGATGAAAACGCTGAAATCATCCCTATCAATTAAATTAACCTCAGCACCTCACAGATATATGCTCAATTTTTTGAGAATATTTTTTATTTTTGAAGAATCAGCGTCTGATAGAAGTATAGACTAATTTACTAATTTTATAACTCATTTTTTTAATTAAATGTTTATTCAACAACTTCCTTCGACAAAAAATTTTTCAAAAATTCACGCCAAAAATTAATTAAAAACAAAACCAAAAAAATTAGAAGGCAAAATCGACAAGTACTGTAAGAGAATTACATACAGATAAAAATATCAAATTAATTTATAACAAATTAATCACTTGGATCATCAATTTCCATATCATCCTGAGGGCTTGTTTCCTTTCGATCCCGAAGATTTCGATATAATACCGTATCATTTGGCATTTCTTCACCTAGTTCTTTTAACAGAACGGAGCGAAATTTTTTATACATTTCGATTTTACCATTGACCTTAGAAAATTACTATCTCATTATATAATTCATATTTCTGGTCATAATATTTCTTGAATATTTAATTTATTTGATTGTCAAAAAATCTTCGACGCATAACGTACTTCCTTATTTTTATTAAGAGTCCTTGCCAGGCATTCTTTCGTATATAACTGTGGATTTTTTACTTGGTCCAAATATTCCAACAATTCGAGAGGAATTTTTACATCCATAAACTGATTCTTTAAATGATCCATTTCCTGTAAAAATCCTGTAAGAAAAAAATAAAAAATCTAGAATAAATAAAAAGTGCTGTGTGTTAAACCTTACATGAAGTCCAGAAATTAAAGTGTGAATTTTTTGATTCAACGGTTCTTGACTCCTGGTCGTAAAATCGCTGGCAATTACTCCCATTTGCCTTGCATTTTCCTAAAATCATTTTTCAAAAAATAAAACTGTTGCAGAAAATAATAACAATATTACGTTCAGATAACATTGAATGTTCAATTTTTGTGCAATCATTTCAATCTATAGAAGAGGCAAAATCCATAAATTACCTGAAAATTTTCAAGAGTTTGTTCTAATTGATTAAAACGAGTTTCAGTGATACTATCTTGAATTGGAACTGCACTACCATTTTGAACATCCATAACTTATATGAAATAAAATATTGGAAGCAAAATAATAAAAATGGGAAAAAAATTTTGGGAAAATTTAGTAGAATTTCTTTTAGCTGCAGTAAACAGCTACATAAAATAAATAAATTACTAGATTAAAATATTTGGAATTAAATAATCAATCAGTTTCTTTCTTCTTGAAGCGATCAGCGTCACTATCAAGAATTTCCTTTCGAAGTTCTTCAAGATCGATATCGAACGGTTTATTCGTAGAAAGACCCTTTAAAAAAGAAAAAACGAATAACAGAATAACAGTAGATGTAGCAATAAATCTAAGAATTTTTTTCGTAATTTCAATAGATTAAAAACTATGAAATTCAATAAAATAAAACTTTATAACTCGCAGCACAAAAAAGAGGAAATGAAACTAACTTTTTCAAGACATTCACGATAAATTTCGTGTAAACGCTCACAAGGGTTCGATTCAATTATCAGAGAACTACGAGAGTTGATAAAACGTTGAAAAAAATTCGTGAAACACTTGTCGTAAGTCTTGAATTTAAATTTAAAAATTTTTAACATTAAGATATGCAATGAATTACGTTGAGAAACCAATAAAAGAAAAAGCATACAAAAGATATAGGAAATAGGACAAGAAAATATAAAATAAAGGCTACCAATCCCGCATGTTTCATAAAAAAGATGAATACAATGAAATCAACTTAATAATCGCTGTGCGGCGAATACATCTTGTGCATATTAAAATTTAACTCGTTCTTAAGCAAAGAAATTAAAAACCTTTCGCTCGCTCTTCATTTTCTTATTTTTCGTTTAGAAGAAGCAAAGTGGCTAAGCCTGTTTATTAAATTAAAACACAATAAACAAAGGAAAAACTAAACGAGTCAGTTATACGAGTCAGAATGAAATGAGAATGAGAATGTGCAAAAAATAATTCTATAAATAATTCTATAAAAACATTGAAGAATTCATTTTTAAAATAAGGCATTATTAGAAACTATTGTACATAAATGTGCAATTTTTTCAACAGCTTATGCTACGAAAAAAATTGTGAAGCATCATTTTAGCCAAAAAACAGTGGGCTGTTAGCTCACATTTCGAATTGTGAGGTTCCATTCTAAAACCTAAAGAACAGTAATGGCGACCTGTCCCACCAAATGGTTCCCCAGCAAAATTTGCCCGCAATTAATTAATTAATTAATTTACTGCAATAGTATATCTCATCAAATTGATAAGTGAAGAGATTTTTCGATTCATTAAAAAATTCAACAAGATAACTGAATGAGCCGAACTAGAAGTGGGTGAATACTCTTAAAGAAATACTAATATACTGTCGACACTGCTGTTGTTCAAATTTAAGGAAGATTAGAGAATTTCGTGCAAACGAGTCGATTTATTAAATCTAGGAGGAGGGAGGAGGGACGCTCTCCTCCGCTAAATTAGTAAATGGAGAAAAATTAAAACCTGTTTAAATCGATCACATTCAGGGAATATACTTGGCATGTAACGCTCTCCCATCACTTACTGCCATTATTCCAGACCAAAACTGAAAATACGAACTACTATGCTACTACCGTCTACCGTCCAATTAATTTCCTTCTAAGAACGAGGATTTTAAATCTTTTCGCAGCTAAATACCCCCAAAATTTTGCTCAATTAAAAATTTTTTTAAATTTGAACTTAAGACGGCCTTGTAAGCAAAACGAAGTGACTGGCGCTACAATTTCCAATTAAGGTCTCTGCTGGCTACTTCTAAAATTCGGAATTTATGTCATGGAGCCAGTGGAATACAAATTAAACAAATGGCTCGCCAGCACCATCTATCTGTCTTTATAGCATTAAAAATAAATATAAATTTCACTCTATATGCCTCTAAAACTCTATAACCTCCAACTTCAGGTCAATTTATTAGCCACCAGAAAGAAGATCGGAAGGAACTGATTTGGCTGATAACGATTCCCGATTTCAGCCATCTGCTAATTAAATTTTCGATTTATTTTCCGAATGTGTCCACGACTTATTGGGTTAAACAGAATGAATATTTCTTTAATATAATACTTATTTTAATAATAATATTTTATTTTTTTGAAAAGATCGTTAGGAACAGAAGCGGAAAACCCGAATAAGGGAACATGCAAATATATTCATAAAATTAAATAATTACAAGAAAAATTTGAGAGAATATGGGCGATGCTCATAATCCATTATATGTTCCTAGTACCATGCAGTGGTGAAATAATCTTAAGAACCAATGGAAGCAATCAGAGATGGTGAGTGCTGTTGGGTAATAAAGGACCTAACACCAAATACGATCACTTTTCCTAGATCGTTTTTTCCTCCTTTTCTCCATTTACGATGGCTTACGACTCAGTAATATTCCAAACCAAATTTTGTATTAATGATCAGATTTATATTTTGATCAAACTTTTTCAGTACATTTCATATGAATAAAAGATATTTATCACTTGATTATTATATTATCTTCTAGTTCATTTACGATTATTTATTAATATTATTTATTATTATACCATTGGTATTTCGTAATGGTATTATCATCCTCTGCGAATCAGATAAGTTTTTTTTTTCTTAAAATTTTTATTCTTTTAGTTATCTTTAAATTTCTCTTCTTTTAATATTTAATTATCTTTATCCTTATTTTTTGTCTTTGACATGAATAAACCTGTCATGGTGTCAAAAATATGGGTAGTTGCTGGACCCACCTGTATCTTTATCCCAAAGTAATTCTATGGTTAAAGGGTCAGGTCTCTTTGATGCAGCGTCCGCAACTTCCGACGCGCACGATGCTCCTAGCCCAGTGGTACATGGTATATTTATATCTGGGCCTAGCGATAGTAGTAAGGTAATTCCAAGGCTTCAGCATAGGATATGGGATGTGAGATTACTCAGAACCCCCCAAGAGAGACGAGAACCTATTCGTCACCACTTTTTAAGAGAGGCACTTCTAAGAGAGGCGGTGCGATCACTTTCCACACCTTCCTAAATACCGTGTGGATGTAGTCGGAAAAAGAATGCACTCTTGCGATGAATTGAAATAAATATTTATTTAAAAAAAATACTATTTACCATAATAAATGAAAAATAGTTATTTGATAGTTATTTAATAGGTTCGAAGTAAAAACGAATATATTTAAGGCGAATAGTTCACAATAAAAATGTGATGAAGCAAGGCGAAGGCGATTCTTAATCTTGCCAATCCAATACTAAAGGTTCTCCTTTGTCAATCTGGCTGGTTCTTCCAAAACATTGGTAGTTTAAAAATTACATAAAAATTGATTTTAAAAAAATTAAAATTGAAAATTTTTATTCAAAAGGAAATTTTCTCATAGTTTTCTTTTTTTTAATGCAAATAAGATGGCTTTAATAAGTAACTAACAGATGCGTGAGCAAAGAAAGAAGAAAAACAATTTTGTGCATATTTGCATATTGTTGACTGCTTATGATGTGGAAAGCTTTGTTAAAATCTTGCTTTTTCTTTTTTGAATTTTAAAAAGCTTTATGAATTTTACCGCATTACTATTATTTTATTTTATTTCTTCTCTTCGGTTGTTTCGACATTCCCGACCGAAGAAAAGAAGTATTAGGTGATGGAATATGGGGTTCATATTGTAAGGGAATTTGGCTAGTAATAGTTACCTATAAATTTATTTAGTAACAATTCCGTTTGAATTGCTAAAAAATTTGTTCTCATTGGAGTTTTATTGCTTGATAAGCATTGTAAATCGAATTAGTTTGAATTTTCATCGCAATGGCAATAAGTATTATTGTAATTAAAAATACTAATAATTAATAATTAATAATAATAATTAATTACTAATAATAATAGTACTAATAATTAATTTCCAATGTATAGCAAGAGTTGCTAATTCTTCCTCAATTAATTCTGTTGAATTTCCAATTGTTCGGCAAATTCTTCACTTTGTTGGCTTGTTTCTTTCCAGAAGGAAGTTCTATCTGGTATTGATTTGATGCTGGATGTAATCCTTCCTGGATGTAATCCTTCCTGGTTTTTAATATTTCTAATGTTGCATTTATTTTTTCAAATTCAAGTTTACTTATTATTCCTTTTTTGAATTCGATAACCGTAGAATTAAATTTTCTTGATTTACATGGAATAATTAACAATTTTCCTTTAATTTCTTTATCACATCGTGCCTTTGTAATAATAATCTTTGTAATAAAGCTAATGTTGGATTATACGACGATAACCGCTCAATTAGTAGCAGTAAATTGTTACGATTTTGACAACTTCTTTGATGCACCATGCTTATTTGTCGTTGGAAATCTTGGTGTAAATTATCAAAAATATATTGAAATTTCGTATTATCTGGATCGAATTTGTCTCCTTTATTCGTTTCCATTAATAATAACTTACCTACTTTATAACTGGTAACAAATTTTTAGTCCTTCGATCTCTCGGTTTAGACGAATTTGGTCCCATATCGATGATAATATCGCCATCCATGCGATAAGGTTTAGTGAAGGTTTTAGTGAAGTTACAAAGTTACTTATAATTGTATTTACTGAAAATAAGTGAAGTTTGAAATTCACTTATGATTACATGGCTTATGATTATAAATTATAAATGTGTGCATCATATATACCAATCCTTTTGTATGGACAATTCGATAATTCGATAATACTATTGTTATTGTTGGTAACACATTTTCCGCTTTGAGTAATGCGGTGTTCAGTACGACCAAGATCGTTTCCATCATAGGCTAATAATTGTCCTTCAGTGAGTGCAAAATTTATTGTAGATTGATATCTTACTCCTAATCCATAGGAGTATTGTACATTATTATTTGTTGTCCAAGTGTCTGGTGCATCTGTTTCGTGATATCAATGACTCCATTGATTTCTTTATGTTTCTTTATGTAAAAATTTACAAGTCTGCTATGATGTGGCTGAAGTGGTTGTTTGGTCCGAGACTACAGATAAAGATAGCCTAAGAAAGGCTTTAGTACATACCACTCGCATTATTGCATCGTATTGCTGGAATTCTCATATAAGATCTAGCATATACAACTACCTTGGCCAACGTGAAATTTGTTGCAGTATTTCTTCACAATTCCATCTATTAGGAAGGTTGAAAGGAATACCAGTTGTCATTTTGCAAGTTTTCTTTATACAAAATATGACTATTTGCTTGAACTTGTAGTAATATAGCCATCATTAATAATAAGCCTTGAATTGATAAGCTTAATATGTTCACTTTAGACACACTTTTCGTCGACCCTCCAGTGTGCATTGCTATTGGTTCCTGTATTTCGAATTTCTTTCTCGTTCATTTCAAATTAGAATTTTCTATAGTTGTTTCACTTTCTGGTTGTGGTTCAATTCCATCGTTAATTTCGGTGGATAAAATATACTTATCTAACGTTTTAATACTTAGTACTTTACCATTTGGTAATTCTATTGTAGCGGTCCGCACTTTCCCATCCTTTCCTTTATAAAGTTCCTTTATTCTGGATAACTTCAACATACTTCGTAGTATTCCAGGTTCATTGAGCATAACTAACTCATTTTTGCGCTGAGATCTGATTTCTGTTCTGTTCTCTTAGGAGATGAAATTTCCCTTTGAATGTGACTAATTAAATATTCTGATCTCCATATTTCCCAGAATACATCCAAGGTCTTAAGTAACCAATATTTAATAAGCTTATCTCTAGTATTTAGTTTATATGGGAAAAATTCTTCATCCTGTATGTTACCGTCTTCAATAGGTAAGATTAATGAAGCGTTTGGTGAAATAAAATCAGTAGGACGTAAGACTGAATAGTCATCAAAGTTTATAAAGGTTAATGGACAAATATTAAGTATACCTTATTTCCACTATCAAAGTTATTAATTCCCTTTCCCATAAAAGTTTTCTACCTATGGCCCTTTTCATTGCTTGCTTCGACAATCCAATTATTCTTTTATAAACGCCTTCTTCTCATGGTGTTCTAGGAGTTATGAATTTCCAATTCATTCTTTTTGTTGCTAAGAAATTGGCATTTTGTTCCATGATAGTTTTAAAAACTAGATTAAGCAGCATTATCACTTAAAATCAATTTGGGATATCCTCGTTGAGAAATAAATCTTCTAAATGTAAGTAAGAAGGCCTCAACAGATAGATTATTTCTAGATGTACCATTCTAATGGTAAAACATGTAAAAAGAGCAATCCACCGCTTTCCTGAACCATTTTCTTGTTTTAAAATGACAGGACCTAAATAATCCAATCCAATTTATTCGAATGATGTTCTTGAACGATGAACATTGAACTCTTGATTTTGGCAGATCTACCTTAGCATTTTGCATGGTTTGGAACTCCAACGTTTAAAGGCCATATATTGATTTAAAACACGTTTGACTTCTATTCTACCCTTTGGAATCCAATATGCATTTCTCATGTTAATAACGTATGAGCGACACCAATATGATGTAAATTTTCATGATAGCACATTATAAGAAGTTCGGTTATTATATTGTGCCTTGATAAATGAATTTGGTGCTTACTGTTTTCGCTTAATTTTGAGTTCTCCAATCGACTCATCGATTTCCATAGTTATTCATATTCATCATAGTAAAAATTCCATTTAGTTATTTCATTGTCGTTGAAATCTTCAAATTGTGCTTGTCTAATTGAGATTTGTCGATCTGTGTCTACTTCCTTCATTGTTATATATGAGAGGTCATCTGAGAACAGGTTTAACCACTCGAATTTTTTGTTATGCGTTTGATGAATTTGAATGCTAAAATGGTTATTCTTAATTTGAATGCTAAAATGGTTATGGTTAATTTAAACCATTTACTGAATCGGTTTGCGTCTATGAACGTAAATTGTTGATATTTATGCATTTGCTATATCAATTGTACATCAACCTATTTTTTTCCATTTCTTCATGCTCTTCATGCCCTTGTGCTTGAAACTCACATTGTGGCCACTCGCATTCCTTTTCTCTAATATATCGCTATTGCGTACGCCATACTTGAAGCATCAGTAAATATGTGAAAGTCATATGGCTTGTAAGATTAGTTATAAACAGAGCCAAGTGTCCTACATTTGTCGTCTTGTCGTTGATAAGGGACTCCCAAACTTGTTGATATTCATAACTTATAACTTGATCCCACGTTTTTTTCCATAAAATTAATTTAAATCTTACAATTATAGAAACTAGAAATCCTAGAGGATCATATTGTGAAGCAACAAATTGAAGAATATTTCATTACTCGTCATGGTTTCAGAATTATGTGTCTAATTTAGGAGACCACATAAGCCCTAAAATCTTTCTGGCATTGAGGCTTGCTCGATCATGATCAGGTATAATTTCATTGAATCTGACATTTTTCGAAAGAAATTATCTAATATTCATTGAGGCTTCCTCAAAAATAGTTTTTAATTCAAAATATTTCTCTAAATTTTCCTCCTTGTCTTCTGCGGATATCAAAACGTTATCAACATAAAGATTCTTTCTTACCTCTAAAGATTCCAGATGATAATTAATAGCTGATAATCGAAATGGGACTCTTTTAAAACGATACCACTGTAGATTTTCTTCAAAAACCCCTTTGTTTATTCCTTCCACCAAAGAAATCTGGTGCAATTCCTGTCTTCGGGATGTAATTCTATTTGCGAAAATGCCTTTTTTAATGTCGGCGGTGATTACTTTCCTCATTATTCGGAAACGAAATAATATACACCATATCTGAAAGTATTATTGGACCACGATATAGTAAGTCATTTAAACTTTTTGATCTCTTTACATGTGCTGATGCATCATAGACTGCTTGCTTAAATTCTCGTCTATTGTCACAGAGTGCGCTGTTATGTGATTTTTCACAATAAAAACACCGATTTTTACAATCGGCCTCTATGTGTCCTCCTTTGAGGCATTTTCGACAGGCTTTAATCTTAATTAAACGTTCTAATTTGTTTTAAAGTAAAATAAGTTTCACTATCCCAGTGATTTTCGTTACAAAACGAACAAGGTCTTCTCTTATAATTACCATCTAACTCTTTTTTATCGACAAATTTGGAATAACTCTAAACTTATTGGGATTAGGCTGACTGATTGTTGCCAATGCGGAAATTTCTCCTTGATTTCTTTGTTACCAACGTTTGGATTTGAACTTGGATAATTGTTGTTCACCATTGGTGTTTTGAAGCTTGACTTCTAGTTGCTTGGTCGTTTCTTTTTACTAATTTCCCGAGAAACTGTCGAAGTTTTGTTACTGACCAGGTCACATTAATTATCATCCTTTTGTTGAAATTCCTTGTCTAATATCCATCCTGATAGCTTGTTTGAGTATTTCAATACTCGAGTGTTCAAGATTTTCACCGATAGCTTCTAGTTGACGAAGAATTCTTTCGATTTATATTCGTCTATCATTTTCCAATCGCGATAATACCTTTTGACAGTATGTAATTCGTTATAGAGAGATTTTTTAATAGTGGAAATCTCCCCAAATTTTTCAGTCAAAAAAAAGTTTTCGTATGACTTGGTAGTTGTTTTTCAGTGCACTATCATAACCTCTCACAGCTCTTAATGCTTCTCCCCTTAAGCAGGACACTAATTTAATTTTTGTATATCGGGAATTGTTTGCGATTGTATAGCAGCTTCAAAACTGCTCCAAAATTCTCTCCATAATTTAGGGTCTCCTCTAAATATTGGTGTAATTGCGGCAAATTTATAGCCGATAAAGAAGCTGGTTTAGTTATATCTTGTTGCTTAAATTCTTTATTTAAATGTGATTTCTTAATTTGTTCGATTATTGGTTCGAAATCCTTTTTATACATGTCTAATATAACAACAGCTTCTTTACTGTCAGTTATTAAGTTTAAAATACCCTTTTCATTATCGACCATTTGGGCATACTTTTCTTCTTTCTCTTTCCTTTTTTGTGGAGTGATTGTTGTATTGATATAGTCCAACCATTTTATATTGACTGATTCCAAATAGCCAATGTGTATTAAGCATCTTAGCTTTTCTTCGATTATTCTTTTTTGGTCTCGTTGTTGATATAATTTTTCCAACGGCAATTCCTGATTCGGTGGCAATAAATTTAAATTTCACTATCTTTCTTTTCTTTTTTCTTTCTTCTTTTTCTTTAATTTCTTTTTTTAACCTTTCTAATGGGTCAAATAAAAGGTCAAAAAGACAAATCCTACTCACAAAATCTACCTTTTGCGATTCTTACAGGTGGTAATTTGTAAATTATCATAGAGACAGTTCAAGTGAGACCAATAAACTGATCTTTGAACTACTAATGTCAAATAAGAAAATTAGAAAAAATAAATGTGGAATAACTTTTTTTTAATCCTAAAGGAATGAAAATATTTGTCTTCTTTTTTTATTAACTCATTGCTAATTACCATTGCTAATTTGTAAAATATCACAGTTCGGCTCACTCCAACGACTGTTTTCCAAGTCTCATAGTCGCTAGGTACAAGAATGGCTTCAAGATATTCGAAACCTAAACTTCTTGGATCTGATGTTTTTATAAAAATTGCGATCTTATTAACGGGTAGTATATGAGACGAAATGAGTATCCATTAGGCATTTAATCTTATAGATAAAAAATGTGAGATTCTCATTTCGAAGGCTTGTCTCCCCACACATATATTTTCGACATAGATTAATAAAATAAGCCATAATAAAATAAATCAAAAAAATGCTTTACTATTATCTTCATTGTCATTTTATATGATTTTCCAAAAAGCCTATCGGATCAAATGCAGCAGAGAGGTCAATAAATCAAGTAAAGATAGGTTGCAGATATGAAATAACATTCCAATAGCCTTTTACGCACTGTCACGAGTATAGCGGAATGAAAGCAAAAATCTTAGAAATATGCAGTAAACTGATTCCTCGTTAGTTGTTTCATTTTCCTTGAAAGCAGAATTACAGAAAGTAGAACCTTGTTTTAGTCACATGGTATTTATTCCTTTTCCCCTACCATTTAGTTTAATCTTCGAGACAAGATATCACATGATCGCATCCACCTTCGTTCAAATACCGCTTACATAAATAATGTTATCATAGAGCATCGCCTTCGCTGGTTCGAGCATGTTCTCCCTCGTTCACCATAGGAGTTGATGCATATTTCGTTACTTGCTAAACTATGTGATGGTTGGCGTCACAAGCGAGGTGGGCCAATCAAGACCTGGACTGATACGATCAGAAAAGATCTTGAACGTATAGGTGGATCAGCGATATATGGATTTAAACGATTGAAAAAGGAATGGCTTCTATTATTGTCGACGATAGCAATAAACTGCACCGCTTGAAAGTATCTTACCCTTGCAACCATTGGAGCCAGCCTAAGCAATAACGGTGAGAGCTATTAGAAGAAGAAGAAGAATCTTCGCAGATAAATTCATGCATTGCAGTTAAAAGCCTATAGGGCCCTCTTCTTTCTATTTTCTTGCTTATAAGGTTTTTTTTCTGAGAATAAATCCCCTCATGGGCATTTTTTACGAGGAAAAGGAAAAACATTCTAAACTCAGTTATTGTTCTGCATGTTTTAGAAGCAAACTCGCAAAAATGTACAAAGTGCAATATTGCAAGTACAGTACAATAGGATCGCCAAAAACACGCTCATGTTAGAATAAAATTATTACCACTGTAAAATGGTCACCAAAAAATTTGTCTTATGTAGCCAATCTATTTAATAATTATTTTTCAAGCACATTTTTGGATAATGGCAATAATTTCCCTTCAAATTTTCTCGACAGTTCACCTTTCTCTACTTTTTTGAATAATATTGGAATTTCGTTCATTGATGTTTATCAGGTGTTGATATTTAGCCAAAATCTTCAAATGTGTGCTGGGATCAGAAATAAAATTGTTTTTAAAAAAATTGCCACGTCTCTTACTTTACTGTATTTCATGTTTTAAAATATCACCAAATACTAAACTTTGCAGATTGTTTTATACAAATTGCGTCTCAATTACTGGCCAATGTCTATGACTGTTGAATTAGGCCGATCAATTTGTTTTCTGGAGTTGGCTTTTGATACGGTTCTACACAATAAGTTGTTGGCTGTTATTAATAATTTTAGTGTTAATGAAAATTTGTTTAGATGGGCGTTAGATTATTTGAATAATCGTTTTCAAATGGTTCATATTAATGCCACGCTTTCTGATGCAATTCAGTTCAAGTTGAGGGATTAGGTTGGGGACATCATGGTAATTGTATTAGCCTATTGTTCTTCAGCGTTACCAATTCATTGCATTACCAATGTTTTATCATGTTCTAACAAATTTAGAATAAGATTTTTGACGACTGCTTATTATTCTAATGAGGGATCAAAAAGTTCACAAACGGAACGGAACATAAATAAAGTATAGAATGGCTTAATGATGAACTCTTTGGGTGAGTGTAAAATTCTGCAAATTCAAATTCTCTGACCTTCCCAATACTTATATTAATAATATTCGTATCAAAATCGTTGATCATATATCAGATCTTAATCAATCAATCAGTGCAATCAATAATTCTGATCTCCAGTGTAGATTAACAAAGTTAAAATACTCGACTTATTAAGAAGTTTAAATCCGAATCTGTTAAATCTGTTTTAAAAATAAATCCGAAGCTTTCGTTGTTAACTTGTACAAGGCATTTGTTAGTGTACGAAAACTGAAAGAAATAGTAATATGGCAAGAATTTAATGAATTTAAAGAATTTATTATAAAAAAAACAGTTCTTGAACTTTGCACATTGTAATGAGTCAGCTAGTTAATATTCAAATCGCACAAAAATTACCTTTTTTCTTTCTTTATATATTCACATCTGTTAGCCAATTTGTAAAAAAGTACCTTATTTGCAAATCTTAGATGCAGCTTTACCTTTTGAAAAAATAATTCCTGTACAATTGGATCTCTTGGATAAAAAACTAATTTTGTACGTAATTTCTTTTTGTTTGTAATCTGCATGATATTGTAAGCCCAACCCACATATGGGCAATATATAAGCTGCTAGCATCCATTCAGGGGTCACTTCAAATAGTGAACAATTTCTCTCCTCGAACCGGAACTCAACGCTCGACATTCTTCTTCCTTAATTTAACCCTATATTTATCTCTTTGGCATAACTATTATACAACTACTGTATTATATTGTATTATTTTGTTGCTACGGTGAATAAACCTTTCTTTTCTGACTCATCGTATCAACAACAACAAGGACACTTTCACGACAGTTAGGTCATATTTAGAATGCAATGCAATACTATTTGCTATATTCCCACTTATTCGAAGTCGCATAAATTAATCGAAGACTTACAGAAACTACTTTTCGTCGCTTAAATTCTTCTTCTCGCATTAATTATAAGGCCAAACTGCAACAGCGTAATACCTTGAAAATACCTTGAAAATTAGAAGAATAAAACAGAATAAATCTGATGTGCTCTTAAGGAATTTTGATTTGAAATTTTGACCACGTCATCTTGATTGGAGTTAAAATTATAATTTTAGCTTGAACTTTAATGTAATTCGAAATAATGGATTGAAACTATACAAGTCCATTTGCAAAATTGATTATATACATGTCGGAAAAAGAATTGCGACCGTGAATAAAGAAGTGAACAAAAATATTTATTAAAATTACAATTACGATAACAAATGAAATTGGTTATTTAAGAGATTTGAAGCAAAAGCGAATGTAGTTAAAGAGATTAGTTATGACTAAATTAAAAAAGGTGTAGTAAGACGAGGGCGAGAGAGAGTCGATCGACAATCTTCCAAGACTGCAAATCCAACACTGCTGGTTCGCAGCCCTCCATTGCCCATCTGGGCGGTTCTTACAAACATTAATAGATCAAAAATTATATCAAAATTATATTAATTTATTTTTGTTCAAAGGGAATTTTTTCGTAATTTTTGTGTTTAATATGTTAATAAGATGCTCTATAAATTAACTAACAGATGCGTGAACAAAGAAAAGGGAAAAACAATTTTGTGTGATTTTCTTTTTTTTATGTAAAAAGCTTTGTTATTTTAAAAGCCTTTTTTGAATTTTAAAAAGGCTTTATGAATTCTTCCCGTATTATTACTTTATTTCTTACTTTCGGTTATTTCCGACAAGACTCATAATTTTTTGCTTGTGCTACTAATTATTGGAACAAATTACCTAAGAATGTTGTTTTAGCCCCATCAATTAAAGTAGGTCGAGAAGTGAAGACTCGCACAATAGGTGAAAAGGACCATAAAATAGAGCGGATACACGGCTGACCTCGAATTACTCCACCATAAATATCGACATTTTTGTTGAAGCAAGGAAAAGCGAAAAATAATCAGTGAGGAATGGCCTGATTCCTCTTTTCTTTCATTTTTGTAATAAATGATATGATTACCTCATAATTCCATTATTTTATGATATGTTTTGGTTATATACAATTCTTGCGATAAATTCTGAATTTGAAAATTTTATTAGGAAATTATCGAAAGCTGTGGTCGAGTGAAATTGCGAGCAATGTTTTCGATTATTTGAGGCGAGAGAAAGTTCCATAAATGAGATTAAGATATTACAAAAGATTTTTTAGACAGAAGAATGATTGAAGAACTTCGTCGTGAGAAAAGTTAATATTCCAAAGACAATGACGAGAGACATATAAGACACTAGGAATTGGAAAATGTTGAGAAAATTTTTAAAAATTTTAGAGTCTTTGAAATTTGAATCAGAAGAGCTTTAAGATAAGACAATAAGTTATGAGGAAATGGCCAAGACTCGAGCCCTCCATGTGCCGAAAAATAAAATTCCCCAGTTTATAGGGTTTTTTTATAAGTATTTTAGAAATAAATCGATAGATTGCGATAATTCTACGCAAATTTAACTGCCGAAGATCTTTGAGGCCGAAACTTTTTAGTGATTCTTTAAACTATTTCTTTTCTTATTTTTTTACCATTCTCAGATAGAAACAAAAAATAATGGCATTTTCACGTGAAAGAAATGAACAGTCTATTAGCTGAGAATGCATCACCGACATTCGCCGAACCCTCCTGGACCACATCCTATCGCACTAAAGGCAGTGTTAAGGGAACCATATGTGCCCCAAAGAAATAGGAAAATTATGAAAAAAACATATCCCCCAGCGCCGCATCAAAACAGATGGATCGAACCTATGTTAGTTGAACACGATCGATTCTCCATTCGCATTTTTAGAGGCTGAATTTTCAAAAAAGTTTGAAAGTGGTCGAATTATTCATTTTTCAGGAAGTTGATTGGGTTTCTAAGTCAGTATTTGGTTCCAGAATGGGCATTGTTTAAAGTTTTTGGAGGGGGGGGGGGGTTGTAGCGTGGAGTTCAGTGGAGTCAATGAAGGTAAAGGAGAATAATTTACGTTAATGGGGCTTTGTGCTGGTTTTCTGACTCATTAGCCACAAAATTTTATGGCTTATAATTGCCTAAAAAATTTTTATATAATTTAAATCGGCTGAGCCTAAAGCTTTTTATTTTTTTATACTCTTATATTAAAGTTCAATTGAGTAAAATTAGTTCAATTCAAAATCTTCATTATAATTTAAATGAACATTAATTTCATTGCTAATAATTTCAGTTGCCTTATTGCATTTCAATTTTATTTCTTTTTCTATGCATATTATTTTGTCTTATAATTTCTTTATAATTTCTCGTTTTTCCCTTTTTTACAAATTTCAGTTATTTTTTCGTTCCGAAAAATACTTGCGGGAGAAAAATTTTTAAAAATTGGAAAAGTTTTTGCAAAAATAATACAAAATTGGTTTGCCTTTTTACAGTCGACTTGCACTTTAGTTTTTTTAAAAGTTCATTAAGGTTGTTGTCAATCGGTCATTGGCCACAAAATTTTATGGCTTATAAGTGCCTAAAAAATTTTTATATGATTCAAATCGACTAAGCTTAAAGCTTTTTATTTTATTTTGTACTGAAGTTGTGAAATTAAAAATGAAAGTAAATCTTCAAATCGAGCAATGTTAAATTTATCAGCATTTTATTTTTAATATTTTTTGTTTATGTTTTATCGAGTAAAGTTATATTTTTTATTGTATTTCTTCTAAATTGTTGTTTTTCTATACTTATTTTTTTAGAATATTGTTATATTTCTATATTTTTAAAGTTCATACTTGCATTTTTATTGCTGAAAAATTGTGATTAGAATTAAATAGTAGTGGAATAATTTTTTAATTTCTTTAAACTTTAGTTTCGAAACTTGGTGATTGTTAATAATGTTGGTGACATTCAAGACAGTCTCTCAAGTGACCTTTCGTATGGATGTGAATGAGAAACAATCGGTAAAATTTTTTTAATCCTATATCTTTTAAACAAATTAGTTCAATGCCTTTTTCCATTTTCTTTCTATTATTTTTTTTCAAAATTTATTCGAAACCGTCAATTTCGAAAAAGCTTGAAGTAAATAAATAAAAAAACTTAGGTAAATAGCAAAAAGCCTAAACTTAAGATCACGTAATACAAAAAAAGAGTAAAATATTGGTTTTCCCTATTATTTTCTAATTCATTTGTCAATAAATATTTCTAAAGATTGGTGAACTGAAAAAAAAAATTTCTATCGAGCAAGGCGAAAATGATTATCCAGTTGAAAATCTGAAACTGATCTACAATGGAAAAGTTAGCAACAGTTATCCGTTTATTTATTTATTCATAATCTTGTGTCCATTAATAAGTAAATAAGTATATGCAAAGTATAAAATAATCATTTTACTTTTAGGTCCTAGATGATGAGCAAATTTTGGAAGATGTTAAGGTCGATCCGGCAAAATTTGTTGTTGTCATGGTTTCAAGGGTAAATTAAATACTGATTAAAATTTTTTAACTGAGAATATTTTTAAGTGGATCTTGAAAGTTCGAATACACTTATTCCTCATGCTTATTTTTGAACGTTAAAAATGAACGAACATTCAAGAATAATTTTTTATGTTTAATTTCATCTTAAATGAGTTATTTTATTGAATTTTTTAAAATTATTTTGAGAAAAAGCCGTTAACTGCTGCTGTTGCTACTGCTAGCTCAGAAACAACGGGTATGAGGTCTGAGCCATCTCAAGCTGAAGGGCCAATTCATACAACAGCTGAAACCACAACTACTACCACAGCATCGAGTATTTTATCTACTGGGTCTACTGCTCGTGCCTTGAGTTGATATTTCAAAGTTTTAAGTTTCATTCGAAATGAATTTGTTTTATTTTGTAGGATCGAACTAGTTTTTAATGAGTTCAGTTGCATTTATACTTATTTTTTTCTAGCTTTAACTCCAGAACAAGAACAAACGGTTGAAGCGATAATTGCAATGGGTTATTCTCGAGATAAAGTTTGTTTTTTATATATATTTGCATGCGTTTGCTAGAAAATTCAATGGTCTTAAATAATTATGTAAATGAGGAAGGGACATTCAGTTGACTGAAGTTTCATTCGACGTATTCAGTTTTCATCTTTTCAGGTGATTCGAGCTTTACGAGCATCTTTTTTTAACGGGGACCGAGCAGTAGAATATCTGTGTTCTTCAATACCAGATGAAGAGGATTTGGGGCTTGGTAAAGGCTTTGCTATTTTTATTTTTATGGTCCTAAATTATATAATATTTAATTATTAATTATATAATATTTTAATTATCATATTTGAATTTTAAAACGAATATTTTGTTGTATCATTTAATCAGACATTTTTATCTCATAAAATGTATATTTGGTAGCGCACTGAAGAAAAGAAAAACTTTTAACCTTAATGATTCTTTTCTTCTATACTTTTGCGAATAACCACGAATTTCAAGAATGGCAAATGAATATATATTATTTTTTGAAAATGGATTTGTTGTAAAAAGAGAACTGTTATTTTCCTTTACCATTTATTTTACATTTATTATTGCAAGTTATATATTTTTTTGCACTATAACTTTTAAATGCAGAGAGTGAAACGATTGATTCAACAGAAAATTCATCCGTAACTAGTCAGACGCTTGAATTTTTGCGTCAAATTCCTCAATTTGAACACCTTCGAGAAATTATCCAGTCTGATCCTTCTGTATTACCGCAAGTCATTGAACAGATTGCACAAAGCAATCCCAGTTTAATGGAAGCTATTCAAAATAATCAGGTTGTTTTGTTTTTAACTGTGGAAAACTTTTTATTTGAAGAGAAATTTTATTAAGGAAGACAAATTCATTTTACCGTTTATTTTTATTTGAGTGATCGTTCGTTTCGATTCTTCTTCATTTTATTTTATTCCACAATTTTATTTTTTTTTCAAGGAAGAATTTATCAATCTGCTTAACGCACCAGCGGTGCTCTCAGCAGCTGGTCAGGCTGATAGCAGATCTGAGGAAGGTTTAAATCGGAATTATTTTGGCATCGAAATTACTCGCTCAGAGCAAGATGCGATCAATCGAGTGAATCATTTCGTTTATTTTATTGTTTTATATTTTTATGATTTTCAATTTTTTATTTTACTATTTATAAATTCTATTTCTTTTTTATTTCAAGTGAAAGGCTGTAAAATTTTTTAGTTGAAAGCAATGGGTTTCCCCGAGCAATTAGTTATTGAGGCTTATTTCTCGTGCGATAAAAACGAGGATCTCGCTGTTAATTATATACTTCAACGGATGGAAGAAGCAGCTGTGAGTTTTTTCTTAAAATCTGTTAAATTCAAAATTCAGAATTGAAAAAGGCATAATAGGTTGAAAATATTTGCATTCTTCAGGATGAACTAAATGCAGCACTCGATAATTCCGAAAGCGGTGGGCAATAGAAGTTTGCTGGCTGTAATGTTTTGTGGATTGCCATCCTTAGCATTATTTTGATTGTTCATGTTTTTGTTGCAGATTCTGTATCAAATTAAATTTTTTAAATATTATGCTAAATTTTTCTTATTGTTCAATGAATGGAGTTTTCTGAGATGAGGAATAAATTATGGGTTATATGAATTGTAATTTTATAATAATTAAGGACTTATGTGTGATAAATTAAATCTTTATTCTTTTAAGAACATGCCAAAATATGGAAAATAAAGAAATAAGAAAAAATATGATGGAATATGGAATTTCTTTGAAGATTTTTTCCAATATAGTAATTACTCTATGAATGCTGCCAATAGCAAAAGCCAGTTTAAATCTTTTAATTCACCGTATATTTAAATAATATATTTAGATATATTTATTATAATAAATAAAAATATGTTTAAATAAATATTTAAATATAAATATTTAGAAATAAATATAATTAAATTGATTTCGAATAAAGAAGTTTGGAAGTTTGCAACTTATGCCACTGTGCAACATATTTTGCCATTATGCAAGGTCAGTCACTACATTAGCTGCATTTTTCAATGAGTGAGTGGACGATCATGTTAAGATGAAGATTGAGCTATTACGAATACAGGGATTTTAAGGACTAATATTGCTGAGTGGTGATGATTCTTCCAAGGAGGCCATTTATATGGTTATTTGGCCTCGGTTGAAAATTTTTTGATATTAAATTATATTCAAGTGCTTTAAAAAAGTGATTTCTAATTACTATTCAAATGTGATTTATCTGTATAATTAAAAAGAAATTCAAAAAAATTACCTTTAGTGACACATGTGCATAATCGTCTTATCATTGCTATTAGCGGAGGTGAGGTGCATGCTGAAGTGCGCTGAGCGAGCTTTCAAGTAGGAATAATGGAAAAATACACCTTTGCCAATTTGGTACTGATACTCGATGTGGTTCGACAATAAAAGGCTCAAGAGGATAGGGTCATATTTCCCAGTGCCTGTTTTACATATATGAGATGGTTGAAAGTGGAATGCTGATAATATCGTTTATTTCTGTCTCAAATTCTGTTTCAAATTTGTCAGTACGTCAGGAATTATTTGTTTTATAGCTATTTATTCAGCAAATGGATGAATCATGGGAAATACAACAAGAAGAAAGGCGACAGTTCGTTGAAACACTTGGTATCGACTACAGATATGGATGCTATGAGGTTCATCAATTTTTTTAGAAATTTTGAATTTGTTTTGAGTTCTTTCATTTAAAAAAGAAGTCTATTCAGGCAAAACGACCAGAATCCTGCCATTTGTTGGGTGAATATATGGAAGCAATTGACCAAAATTTGAAAGGAGCATTTCAAATTTTTAAAGTAAATTGTGAAAAAGAGAAATATCCACATAGTTGCAGGAAATATGCAGCGTATATGTTATTAAAAAGAGGTTAGCTAGAGGTTCTTTCATCTTTTGTAATGGTCTCTAAAAGGATTTTCATTTATCCTTTTTTATTTTATTTCCAAATTGTATTCCATTTCTACTGTTCTGCTTGTGTAATTATTCCATTTTTTGTAGAGCCATTTGATGATAGAGCGATTAATGATGCTCTAGAATGTGCATGTAATGCAAATATTCCTATTGCTTGTCGATATCTTGGTTTATTACAGAATAAAAATGCGAAAAGTGAAGCTTGTTTGAAGAATGCTTGCGAGAAACTTGAAAAGTATGGAAAATACAAGTAAATTTACGTAAAATGATGTAGAAATTATTATGGAACGAATTATAAAAACATAAAAAAAGTTTTTAAATATTTGTAAACTTTGTTTCTTAACTATCTAATAATTTTTAAATGTTTTTACAGAGCTTGCAAACTGGAAGATGGACGTGCTTGTTGGATTTTATCGCAGTGGTTTTTAGGATTCAGTGGAATACAACAAGAAACTATTAAGAGTGAAAATGTGGTTTCATTTGGCTTAGAGAAATTTTCCTGTGGAAATATAAGGATCTAATGCAGAAAATTGAAAAATTTTCTAAACTTCTGTGGGTTGATTTTTTTCTTATTTGAAGGAGACATCAAAATCGAACGAAGTGCAAAAAATCGCGGTCGCCAAAAATGTCCCTAAAGCGTTAAAATACGCGATCGCTGCCTGTGATTTAAATGTTTATCAATCATGTTTTAACGCATCGAGGTTGTTTTTTTCTTTTGAGATCTACTTTCTACTGGAGCTCTCTTTTTGTTTCTTTTCTTTATTAATAATACTTTTGGATTTAATCTAGCAATATTCATTTTACTAAGTTAAATGTTCGTTTAATTCGAATTTATGTTATTAACTTGTACTATTACTGATTCATTGATATTAAAGAATATATCGACTTGGAAATGGAATACAAAAGGACGAAGCGAAAGCGAAAGAGTATAAAGCTAAAGGATTGCAGATAGCTGAACTGCGAGCGAAATCAGATGTACGATTACGTAATGAGTTAAAAAAATTGAGATCTGAGTTATAAATTATTTGGATTTTGTATTTCTTTGGATCCAGAAAATTCGTTAACAAACTGTTGAATTTTCTAAAATTTTGTAATTTTTGTATATGAATAAAATTCGTCCATAGATCGAACATTCACATCGAACTTTATATTCGCTTAGAAAACAATTAGCATGGTGACAAGCTTCGGTGCTTGTAAAAACGTGAAAACGTGAGAAGGCGCTAGGAGGACGTCGAAATGTTATTTTCGTCTGAAATAAGAATAAAAAATAGTTGAAAAAACATTAGTGAACATATTAATAGCTGAAAAATTCAAAATAAAAACGAGTAAATTTATTGAAATTCTATTCCGCAAATGGATCTTTATAGAAAAGACTTATAGATAAGCCTTTTGATTTTAAATCCTTTGATTTCATTAAATTTTCATAGCGTAAAGTCTACATAGACTTTAGGAATTTGCCGCACCATTGCTGATGTGGGGGTTTAGCTCAGCGGTAGAGCGCTCGCTTCGCATGCGAGAGGTCGGGGGTTCGATTCCCCCAACCTCCAGCGAGGTTTTGGCATCAGCAATGGATTTGGGATTGCTTTGTTGTTCCTTTATTTCATCATGAAATTGCACTAATATTCCAACTTTCACTTCTTTTCTATTAGAAATATGAGTGTCGGGAATATTTCGTATTAATATCTGATCAATAGGTGTAAGTGGAAAAGAAATTGCGGCCGGCGGAGATCGGGAATAAGCGGCTGGTTCGGAACTTTTTCTGGAATTTATTTTATAAGATAATGAAGCCGAAAACAAAATTTTTGCGAAGATTTTGCGATAAATTATGAAATATGAAATAGTTGAATTATAAATGAATATTGAAGGTCTTCATTATAACTGAAACGAGTAAAAACTCCTTTTATGCTTATTAAAGTAATTAATTATTAAAGTAATTCAATAGGTTTTAAGCGTTATTCCCAAAGTGAAGTTTGATAAAATGTGAAGGAAGAATAGCGGAAAAGGAGATAAAACGATTTGGAGTGATATGAAAAGGCATTTTGTAATAGTTGTATGATACGCGTTTGGAGTACGCTTTGCCTCTAACTTGATTAAATCTGGGATAAAGAATCCTGGTGACACTGGAAATTTACCTCCTTCTCATAGGCAAACTCTTACTGATAGCAAATGAACTGAGTTTAATGAGAAATCAGTTGTGGCGATTCCATGCAATATCAAGTCTTCAAACCTGATTAAAGCATTTGTTATAAAGCATTTAATCTAAGTTTACTTACTGAAACAAGGTTCTTAGCCAATCAGCCTGGTGGCAGAGCGTAAAGCGCTAGTTTGAGTGCGAAAGACGAAGGTAGTCCGGTTCCCCCATCCTCCAGATTTTCTGATTCCATAGAGTTATTTTACATTCAATAATATTTTAACAAAATCCTTAAAATCTCTTTCATCTCATTCATTATCGAAAGAATTAATCGAGTAAACTTATAAGTTTAATAAGTTTTTTGTAAATTTCACTGTGAAGGCTAGACTAACACGTAGACGTTGATTTCAATTGAGGACTAAGTGAACACGTAGACGTTGATTTCAATTGTTTTCACTGAAGACGTGGTGCAAATTTCACACATCAAAGAATGAACATATGTTATAGTCTCCTTCTTCGAAGGATGATACCGTGAGGGGGATTAGCTCAGCGGTAGAGCGCTCGCTTTGCATGCGAGAGGTCGGGGGTTCGATTCCCCCATCCTCCAGGGCATTTTTCACACTTTTATTTCAACTTTCACTGAATTTGCTGCAACTGTTGTTGTTCGAAACCACTTTTTATTAATGCCTCTTCCGTCTTGCATTTGTTATCAGTTTCACTTGTTCGTCTGACACCAGGGAGGGGGGTTAACTGAGCGGTAGAGCGCTCGCTTTGCATGCGTGAGGTCGGGGGTTCCATTCCCCCACCTTCCACTGAGATTTTGATGTTCAACGTTCGCGGATTCTCTCCAAGACTGCTAATCATTTGTCATTCCTCGAAACAGTTTGTTCCAGAAATATCTGTAAACTCGTGCAATCAACGTCATAAACTCAATGTCCATTTGTTTATCTTTAATAGTTAGTAATTCCAAAAAATTTATAGAAATGCCAAAGTGGTTCTCGAAGGTTTTGAAACTTCATTCAAAATTGCACCAAAATACTTGTAAGTTTCTTTTGCCTACTATAATTTCACGAAATAGTTTCAAATTTTATGCGTTTTTCGTCCAAAAGTAATATTTATTATTGACATTAGGTTGCTGGGCCAAAATGTTCAGTCAATGATAACACTGAACGATTTTATGGCTATATAATCAATGTTGTCGTAGAATCGCATTTTTTGCTGCATGCATAGCTTTAAGTTGTTCGAGCTCATGTTTTAGCCTTATCATTTCCTTTCGTAATTCATCGTTTTCTTGCTCTAGCTGTTGGGCTCGTTTCGAACGATATTCGAATTGTGCACGTCGATTTGCTCGACATCGTTTCGCCGCTTCATTATTTCGTCTTCGCCTATCGATATACTGCTGAAAAAATTTCTTGATAAGACATTTCACAAGAAAAATGACTTATAGATTTTTAAAAAATATGGATTATTAAAAAGATTGTTTTAAATACTGCAGCTATGAATTTAAACAGTGGAAGGAGAAGCGGCTGAACCTAGAGACTTGAAAGCACTTCACCTTAGCAAAGCCTGCCTACTCAACTATGATACAGTTAGAATAAATTAGAATAAATTTGTAAAAAGAAAACCTTGTTCGGTTGTGCTGAATTTAAAGCTTCAACAATAGCCGAATTCGATAAATTTGGAGGTAGTGGTGCTGATGGACTAGACCGTGAATTCATTGAATCGCTCGTACTATTGTTATTACTACTTGGCGATCCCATACTCTCTGTGTCACTTTTTGTGCAAATTAGGTTGACAGCTAAACTGTTCAAACAGTTTCTTACATCATTCTGCAATCATTTGATACAATCAAAATTTTTTTCAAAAAAATAGACTAGGTTGAATGATCACTTGGTCTAAAAAGTAGGATTAAATAGAGATGGTAGATTTTTTGACCAATGGTTCCCTAATAGCCAGTGGAATCAGTATTATTATCACTATTAAATATGGTTTCATCAGCTCAGAAAGTAGATCAAAGAGCATTCTGCTCCAATAATTTTGAAATTCAATATTTTGCTAAATTTTTTCTAGAAAAATATTTGGCTAAATTAAAAATTATGCACCACACGAGGTGGAGAAGAATTTAATCCTGATTGCACATCCGTTTGACTTTGTTGTACCAGTGGTGATGTCCGCCTTGATGCAAGAAGTGAACCAAGAAGTGACTGAGGTTTGCTATCCGGATCAATAGCATTACTTGAAATGGGCGATATACCATTCCACTGTCGCTGTACAATAGCAGTTTGCCTATCCAACTGCTCGGCGTTATCGTTTGATTCTGCAAATATTTTATAAATAATGCAGGCAGCAAAAAATATTCATTACTTATCACTTGAAGTTATCGAAGCTATTTAACCCATACCAACCATTTTTGGAATACTTGCAATTCACATCATTTATTGACGAATCTGGACTGTTCCTTTGGGTTAAATTTGATACGGTCGCTACTGATGCCATTTCACGTATACTGTAGAATGGTTGAAAAGCGCCACATCCGATCGAAATCGTCGACGATGGTTGATTCCGATACTTCAAATGTATAATTACTTAGTACAATTATTGATAACCAAAGTAAGAAATCATATACATGTGCGAAAAGTGTAACAGATCTTGAAGGCAAATAATCCTCGAGAAATATAGAAGTAACAACTGGCTATAACTGATATAACTGGATTCCAAATTGCTGTCGGAGATTGCCGCAGATGGCATCAAGCGATAGGTCCAAACAAACGAAAACTGACATTAGGTAAAAATAACCGACTAATCACCCTGGTCCTACATGTAGTTCTTTTTTTAAAGTTTATCACAGCTTGGATGATCAGTGCCACACCAATTTTATTCATCAATGATACTTTAAAAAATGACCTGTTGCGCGAGAGTTGCTTGTAAATGACATATCTGAAACATTTGCGTTGTGGTGGGATTATTAGTTGGAGTTGGATTCAGAAAGTTGGAGCTAGTAGGAAAAATAGTTGAAGGGAACAACGTTGTTAAATTGGGTGGTGGACCAACTGTTGTTGGAAAGGTATGAAAAGAATTATGGCCTAAATTCGCCGTGTTTTCAAAATTTGGTCTGGCAATAATTACACTGTCATGAGGAGCATGCAGTGGTATTTCCTGATTTTTACATGGATGAAATTGTTTCTGCTCAATGTTGTTTTGTTTGTCGAGCCGACTTCTTAATAAACTGTTCTCTTTGGTTAATTCAATTAGTTTTTGTTCCATTATCTGAAAATGATCATTTTTTCTTAACTTAAAACTTAAATATAAAAATAAATAGGCTGCAAGTGCTCATCTATCATTCAGGTTAATAGTGATGCGAAACTTTCATAATATGTTCGTGCATCATTTCTTCTTCTTAACAGCATCATTTCTTAACAGAACGGGTTCTACTTTTTATTTTTTTCTAATAAGATAATCCAGACAAAATATGCCAAAAAGTTTCATTTCGCACCTATTGATTGACCGAATCGAACATAAATTGGTGGCCCAATTTTTTCTAAAAACCCCGAATTTCCTTAAATATATATATTCAATATTGACAGACTAGTTTTTAGATAATTAGCGCCTGTATTCACTTTGGAATATGAAGATAATAATTGATTTGGATATGACAAATATAATATAGAATAAATAATGGGCAAAGATAAATAGTATTTTATAAATAACATTTTTATCATCGAATTTAATCCTATCGTTATTTCTTTGTTTATTTCTTAATCTGCATTTGTTTAAATATTTTAGACAAGAAACAAACCATATCGTTGACCCTTCTTTTCTCCCGTGATCTTTTAGCTGCGTCGTTATTCCGTTTTCGTTTTTCCCAGTAAGCCTCATCTTTCGAACCATCACGTATTGCCCTATTAAAATATACATTAAAATTTAAATATAAAATATAGGGCATGCAAATTCTAACCTGCTGAGATTCTTTGTGGATATTTCGTTCTTTTTAATATTATTTTTTTTTGTTTTTATACTCTCTATTATTATTTTTTATGTATTAAAGAAATCCATTGTTATGCTGATAGGAGACTTTCAGTAAATTCTTTCTTTTCTTCTAAAACCACTTATTATTCTTGGTTAGGCTTGCTCCAGTGGCCACTAAAATCGAATTAAATGACAACTGTATTTTTGCCACAAAATGATCGTCTGATAAAAATCCATTAATTAATGTGAATATTGAATAAATAATTGTAGTAACTAAGTAATTCTAGCATCCAACTTGGATTTCTTTATTCAAACATCACCTTTAATGATAGGTTTTCTATTAACGGCTAGAAATCAAATGTTTGGTCAGTGCAGGTGCAAGGTAGTCCACTGGACTAGAAGGTTTTGCCAATTATTAGAAAAATGGATTTTTTCAGTGCATATTATATTATAATTTTCTTAATTAATTTAAGAAATTAGTGAAAAATTAGTGAAAACCTTTGCTGGCAATTTCTTGATTCCACATTAATTTGGTTTGGTGAAGTAGAAGCTTCTGAGCTGTTTGATGAGTCCATCGCATCGGAGCGATTGCCATTTGTTTCACAGATTAAATTAAAACTAGGCGATGACAATGAAGATCGAGAACTCGAACATGATTCAATACCCACAGAATCCATTCTTAAAATATGGATCTTATGAACATGGCTTAAATTAAATTAAAAGCAAAATTAATGATGCGAAATAATTAATTAATGAATATATTAAATTATATATTATATAATATATTATTAAATATATTATATAATATTAAATTAATGCTGAAGCTGATACAGCTCCCGACTTTTGTTTTATTCTTATAACACCAATAAAATATCAATTTTTTAAATCTTTAAATTCTTTAAGTCCTAAAAATTTTATCCATTATTTTTCAAGATTTTGTATGAATTTGCTTATTTAAAGTGAAATTCCAACGTTTGAACAAAGGCAAATAATGTTGAAACGGAAGGTTTTTTTTTTAAGAGTCCTCACCATTACTGGTTAAACTCGCTCCACTGGCTTGTCGCATTGGGCAATATGCCAGCGAGTCCCTTGGCGATAGAAATACAAGTGAGTCGCCAGCATCACCTGGATTTTTACACAGGTTTACTCCTGCGGGGAATCGAACCTCAGCATCGGCGCTCCAAACTGAGCAACAACCCACTGAGCAATTCTATCCCCTGAAATGGAAGGTTAAATCTGGATATTTTAACACATGTTTCGACAAATTTAAATTCATTTATTATGAATAAATAATTATTAGACAATAATGATTATAAGGAACAATATAGCCGAGTGGATAGTGGTTTGGGTTACTGAAGTGAGAAGCAAGTTTTTTTCAGAGATGTAAACCTGCCATTAAAAAATAGTGCCAGCGACTCATACTTTTCCTACCAAGTGATGATTCACTGACAAAAATCTGCTAACAAGCTGAGCTAGCCTAGCCACGAATGGCACGAAGTTAAAAAAACTTGTATTTTTTATTTTCATTATTTTTTCCATTAATGAATTAATAAAACTGAAGACAGTAATATAATGTTATTATATTACTGCGATCAAGGCATTCGACGAAAATAAAAAAGCGACTAAATAGTTGAAAAATTATGTGCTGCTTTGACTAAGGCCATCCATCATGGGCTCTATCCCTTGAAAGTAAAGTTGTCAAACTGAAATCCAGACGGTACTGGAGATCATATTTGCCTCTGAAAGAGTCTCTCACCTTCGCAATCAGTGGAGTCAACTAAAAATGGTAGGTGCTTTAGAAAAAGAAAAAAACACAGTTAATTTAAAAAATGCAATCAAAGTCCGAATTCCAATCCCTTTCACAGATGATAATTGTAATTGTAATTGTAATTAATAATAATTGTAATTATTCCAATAAGAGGATTTTAATATGTTTAATATATATATATATATATGTTTAAAGATTTTTCGAAATTTAAAAATTTGAAAAAATCAAAAATAAATTTTTATTAAATGAATCTCAAAGATAAAATATTTGTTTCTATAAAAAAATTATAAATAAATTCAAATATGATTTCAAGATTATAAAAATTGAAAACATTTATTTTTAATTGAAAATATTTATGAATTAATAATCAATTTATTTAGTGAAGCAATCAAGAAATGCCATAGTCTTTGGAGAATTTTCTCACTAATATTCGACGAATTTTTGAATTTTTTTCCGATTAATTTAATTTCATTTTTTTGCACTTCTTGCTTTATTTTACTTATTTTAGGAAAGTTTGTTTTCAATTCTTATCAGACAACTTGAAAAAATTAACAAAGTTACAACTAAAATTAAATTATCAATTTGAAACACACCGCATAATATAATGAAGTATCATGAAAAAAAGCTGAAGTAATGAAAAAAACAGAAATAGAAAAAATGCAAATGTAGGATAATAAAAATAAATAAAAATAGCATCAAACTGTTTTATACACATCCTTTCTGATCATCCAATTGTTAAAAATGAAAGAAACTCAGGAGAACCTCACTCCATTATCAGATTTAAGTTCAATTTTTCCATCTTAATCTTATCTTACTTTAATCTTATCTTCTGAACCAGTAAATTTCAAATTTTTTCATGAGGATTTCTTTGGACTCTTAAAAATTGGATATCCAATAAGCGCTTTTGCTTCTTTATCTTTCAGTGTGTATCGTTTTAGAAACAGAAATTAAAATTAAGAAATTTTGAAATTTATTGCTTTGTGATTATTAAATATTACTACATTATTATAACTATTATTATTGTTATTATTGTTCATTATTTATTATTGTCAATTATTATTTATTATTATCATTTATTATTATAATTATTGTTAACCATTAGTTATTGTCTTCATCTAACGACCTTCACCATTACTGGTTAGATTAATTCAACTGGCTACATTGTAAAGTGTTTCCAAGCTTTCGGTCCGACACCATCCTTTAATTATTGTAATTATTAACTTATTACTATTGTTTTAAGAATCATTTAATCATTATTTTAATAATCGAGCGGATAAAATCGCAGTGATTTCGCAATGAATCGCAGTATCCATCTTCGCTCAAATATATTAATAATTACAGAGCGTTGCCTTCGCTGTTTAGAGCACGTTCTCCATCACAGAAGTTGATGCATATTTCGTTGCTTGCTAACTTGTGATGTTTGGCGTCAAAAGCAAGAAGAGCAATCAAGACCTGGACTGATACAGTCAGGAAAGATTTTGAAGATACAGAGGAACCAACGGTATATAGATTAGATGATGCAAAAAAAATGGCTTCTATAGTACTATCGATGGCGTCGGATGAAGCAGCTTGGAGATATCTTACCCTTGTAGCAAGTCTAACCAGTAATAGTGAGACCTCTTAGAAGAAGAAGGTTACTATTATTATTATCACTTATTATTATTCTTATTATGGTTTTGGCCCCAATAATCCTCAAAAGAGTCTTAAGGATGCTCAGAGGCCTCCACACCACATTTTGTGAACGATTACTGCTCTAAACTTTTAATAAGATTTATTAATTTCAAAGCGAACAAAAGAAAGACTGTTAAATGAACGATCCTGAGTTTCCTTTCAGTTTTTGCCACAAGAATGGAAGAGATAAATCCATAAAAAGCATCGAAAAACTCTTCTAATCGTCTAAAAAAAATATTCTTTCAGAAATTAAAACACATTGAATGAAAACGATTGAATGAGCAAAAATTTGAATAACTAAAAGATTAGAAATAAAAACATATAAATTGAGCATTGATCGATGCAAAGTCTAAAAATAATTTAAAATTCTGTAAAAAATGAAAAAATTTTAAAGAATTTTATAAAAATTGAAATATTGAAAATCAAAATATAAATAAAAAATTATTCAAAAAATTTTTTGGTAATGACGAATCGTACTTAATAAATTTCAGTGACAATAAATAAATATTTCTTCAATAAACTAGTAAAAAGTCTCTAAAGCCTCAATATATAGAACTTCATTTTATTCCAGTGGCACTCACCATTTCCACTCATTTGGTTGACTCCGATAGCTTTCAAGATGAGACCGTTTTGATAACAGTCAGTTGCAGATAGGAACACAGGTAGCTTCCCAGTATCACTCGGATTATACACTTAATGGCAAGTTTGATTCCGTTATGAGACAAGAATGGAATCTATAATGGCTTAACTTTAGTCGAAGTAAAATATCACATTCATCATTCGATCATTCGACCCCATTTAATGCAGTAATAAGTAAGTAAGTTAATTTATAAGTTAATAATAAGTTAATTTCTTTCTTATTGACTTTTTGATCCTATCATCAAAAAATTGTGGAGCAGGATCATCAACAATTTAACATGCTTCTCTCTTTGAACGATATTTATCAACATTCCTCTTTTGCTAAAAGTTATAGAACCACGTAAATTTAAAAATTATAGTCTTCCTTCAAATATTATTTCTCTCTATTCCCCTGATTTTAAAAAATTGAAACTTATAGAAAAAGCAGAATATAAATTGATACAAATTTATTTCTTTGGTATGTTTTATCAATCTCTTAGATAAAATATTTTAGATTGGATGTTAAAACTGATATTAGAAAAGAATGAACTATGACACCAAATTAAAAGGAAAATTAAAACAGGAAATTTTAAAAAGTATGATAGCTGGATAGTGATTAAAACTATTTAAAGGACTGAGAATTGGGAACAGAATTGCTTTGCTTTAATCTGGTACATCCCTGCCAAAAAGTATATTTGTTGAAGGTGCGTTATGAAAAAACATTTGAAGAGAACGGTGGACAACCAGAAGACCATCTTCTTCCGAAATCTCATTGGTTTTAAGCTTATGGACAATGGAGATTATTTCTTCTTCTGTTGGAGGTTCGTAATTGCAAACATATATGGTTCGACGAACGTATTAGTTATATCAATGTCAACAGATGTTAAATTCTTTGACCTCAAAGAACTTCTTCATCTTATGAGGCGATCCTCAATACTCGTAACAAGCATATTCGTACTTTAGCAGCATTTTTAGACAGTTGGACAGTTGCTTCCGATGCACAACTAGCGCATTTCCTACTAATATGCACTAGCGTGGAAGTGGCTGACTTTCGGAGACATTCCTTTAGTTGGGATTAGCATTCATCTATCGTATCTAGAGATATAATTCAGCGTTCATCTAGAGATATAATTGATGTTCATTTCACTTCAATAATTCTATTTGAAATGGGCTCATCGTCCACGAATTTTTTAATTTGAGATAGTTGAAAGATCTTGGGGAATGATATGTTGATTTTATGCGGCTCGGACCATAATAAGGTCAGATCCATGAAGATTGTCCGTTTCAGTACCGCAATAGAAACGATTATCTAGTACGGAACTCTTCCAACTGCGACTGACTAAAATCTAATCAGTCTGGTTGAAGTGTTGGTTATCCGTGTTGTAAATGGGGAGTTCCACGTGATTAGATGTTTCCTACGATGCCGAAAGCAAATATTAGTAACAAAGTTCATGCAGAAAAAGCGAAGAAGATATTTCCCATTGGCGCATCGGACTCTGATGCCACATTTGCCAATTGTCGAGGTCATCGCAAGGACATTATGACCCATACACATATACATTCCAGTATCCCCTGATTATGTTATGTTTCGGTAGAGAAATTGTTAGTAGTTGAAGTTCC